AGAAAAAGAAATCACTGTATCTGGATTTTATAAAAAAATCCAACAAAGGAAAAAGAAAAAAGGTATAAGGAATATAAAAACAAATTAACTACAATAATAAGGAAGCAAAAAAAGGAATATTATGATCAGCTTTTCCTAAAACACAAAAATAATATTAAAGGTACATGGAATGTGTTAAATAAATTAATAAGAAATACAAAAGAAGCAGGTATAGATATTCACAATAAAAATTGAAAGAACATTGCAAATGAGTTTAATAAATATTTTGTGAATGTTGGCCCTAATCTAGCTAAAAAGCTGCCAGAAGTTGACATTAACCATGAAATAAATAAAAATAATAATACAATGTTTTTGAGCAGTGTAAGCCAAAGTGATGTGATCCAAGCGGTACATAGTTTCAAAAGTAAAAAGTCCTTAGATTTTCATGGGATAGATATGTCTCTCATGAAGGAGGTTATCCATTGCATTATTGAACCTTTTACTTATATTTGTAATAAATCATTTTCAAGTGGCACAGTCCCTGAAAAAATGAAAATAGCCAGAGTTATTCCTATTTATTAAAGTGGTGATAAATTATTAGCTTGTAACTATAGACCTATCTCTTTACTGCCACAGTTTTCAAATATACTTGAGAAACTTTTTGTAATTAGATTTGAAGCATTTACCAACAAGTTTGATCTTTTAAATGACCATCAGTATGGGTTTAGGAAGAATCGTTCAACCTCATTAGCAGTTATGGATTTGGTAGAGCAGATTGCAACAGCAGTGGATCAAAAACTTCATGTAGTGGCTGTCTTGATTGACTTGAGTAAGGCATTTGATACAATTGATCACATATACCTGCTCAAGAAATGTGAATACTATGGTCTTCGTGGTAAAACCAATCAATGGCTTGAAAGTTATTTAAGCAGTAGATTTCAATATGTAAATGTTAATGATATAGATTCACAGCTTGAAAGAGTAATATGTGGTGTACCGCAAGGCTCGGTGCTAGGACCGAAATTATTCAACCTATACCTGAACGACATCTTTTCTGTATCGTCTCGGTTAAAATTTATTATGTTTGCAGATGATACAAATTTCATTTGTATGGGAAAAGATATGAGTAAATTATTACAAGAGGTTGAAAACGAATTGGATTCAATTAAAAAATGGTTTGATTACAACAAGCTATCACTAAATGAAAATAAAACCAAATTTATGATATTTTCAGGGAAAAGGGACAATGACGGTGCTAAGCTGTATTTAAATGGAGTCCCAATTGAACAAGTACATGAAACTAAATTCCTAGGTGTGACTATTGATAGTAAACTCAGTTGGAAACCACACATTGAATATATCAAACAGCAAGTGTCTAAATCTATTGCTATACTTTATAAAACTATTGATATACTAAATAAAAAAGCCTTGTTTTTGATTTATAGCTCTTTAGTTATGCCTTATTTGTCTTACTGTGCAGAGGTTTGGGGAAATGCAGGTAAAACGTGTGTTGAGACTGTATTTAAATTACAAAAAAAGGCGATTAAAATAGTTAATAAATTGGGATACCTCGAACCAACCCATTATCTATTTAGTCAAACGAAAACGCTAAAATTAGGAGACATTATTAAAGTAAAAATCTTAGAGATTCTTCATAAAGTAGTTAATAATAATATCCCAAATTGCATAAAAGTTTATTTCAAACCAAGAGATGATCATTATAATCTCAGAGGTGTATTTATGTTTGAATGTGTAAAAGCCAGAACTAATGTGAAATCAAGATGTGTTTCTGTTGTTGGTGTGAAATTGTGGAATGAGTTAGATGATGATTTGAAGAAATGTACTTCTTTACTAAAGTTTAAAGCAGGTGTAAAGTGTCACATATTTACAGGGTACGAAAAGTATGTATAGACATTAATGAATTTTCATTGTGGATATTTATATTGGGGAAAATAAAAGAAATGTATATTGGTTATGTATATTAGGTGGAAAATAGGGTAGGCTAAAATAAGCATTGCTTCTGCCTAGTCCTTCTTTGGTTTAAATTCAAATTGTTAATATTGTTTTGTTTGAAAAGAAAAATTTTATGTTAATGCTATAAACCAAAATAAAGACCGAAAGAAGAAAGAAAGTGTTAAACGCCTTTAGTTTCACCATCAAGATCAAATATAAATTAATTAGTGTTATCAGTGATAACACTAATTAATTTATATATATATTAATCAGAATTATTATCGCGGGCGGCTGCCGCCAATTAATTTGCGGACCTCACAGTAAAAACAGGTTCACTCTGTGTGGATATTTCAGCTCCTTCCCAGTCATGGACCAGGACAAACTTGGTATCGATGGATTCGTGGTAATCTCAGGAATGGGAAGCTGCCACTGTTTTTCGTATAGCATGATGACACTGGTGTTAGAGGATTGTTAATGACTTGGTTAGATATTTTAAGCCTATTTTAAATTTCTTTATATTTGATCTTGAAAACGGACAATCTTATAATTTGGCTGATAATGCAGGGATTATAAAATTTAGAGTACATTACATTCACAGAGAGAACCTGGTTTATTTCATGTCATATGTATTTAATATATCAATATATATCAGTATTAGCAAAGCTTAACATCATGAACCACATGGCCCTTTAGACGCAGTAGCAGCAGCAGCAGGGCCCTCATTGTCTCCAGAAAGCACTGAGGAGATGAGACAAGGTGAGCTCACTCAGGGGCGGCGTTAGGCCCAGCTACTTGGGCTGAAGCCCCGGATGTTTTATGAAAAGCCCCGGATCTGAAACGTGGAAGTAACATGCAGTAACAAAGTCCAACAGAGAGGGAGCAGCTGGCAGTAGTTTGTATACAGCCTGCCTGAGCCTCCACCACTGAAGAAGAAGCCCTTCAGCAGCCAGCTTCTTCTGCAGTCTCTGCCTGAAATGCATGAGTGAAGATGGACATAAGGACTTTTTTTAGACAAAAAGTACAATGACAGAACCCCAGCTTTGATGAGACTGGTGTTGACTCAGGTTTGTGAGTCTTATTTGAAAATATTTGTTGTGTTGCTGGTTTGCCTAAAGTTAGCTTCTCAGGTAAAGTTGCTGGAAAGTGAATATTTACTTTCATCTCACACTAAACACTAACAGGAACAATATTCTGCCCTGAATATGCTTAATATGTAGCTTTAGATTAAAAAATTATGTGGTACAAGACAAATATATATGATGTTGACTAGTGCGTGTCACGTGTGTGTGCGCGCGTGTTTGTGTGTTAAGCCCCGGATCTTCTTCAGTCCTAAATCCGCCCCTGAGCTCACGATACAATTAAGTTATTCAATTTACAAGCAATCATTAGCAACAGATTTATCTGAAAGGACATGTTAGGTTATATTTTGCTGACCTAATTCATGATCCATTTTGCTTGTGTGGTGTCTGTCCCCCTTGCAGCAGAGAAAGAGATAGAATATGTGAAAGAGGATGATGTAAGTGAAGATAGGGAAGGGGATGGTTGCTCTGAAGGTAGTGAGGATGATGAGGAGAGGCCAGAAGAAGAAGAAAGTGAGAGGCTGAGCAACACAGATGAGTGTCTGCCAGAGGATCCAGGACTATGGCCAGGGAAGCTCACTGGTCAACAGAGAGATACAGTTGTCAGAAGACTGGCGAATAAAAGTGATCAAACACCAGGAATCGACAAAATAACACCCAAAGATATGGAGGGCAAGCCATTTCCAAATTATCTTCAATATGCTAAGTCAGCCAATGGGCATGAGAAGATAAGAAGAGACTGGCTTATTTACAGTGAAAGTGCAAAGGCTCTGTACTGCATCCCATGTCTCCTCTTGAGCTGCTTAATTCCATCTACAGGATGCAATTACAGAGCATTTTTGGAGAAGTTTGTATTGGACTGAGGATTTTTTGCACACTACCTGTGACTGTTGCTGGGGGTGAACGGGCTTTTAGCAAACTGAAACTGGTGAAAAATTATTTGAGATCAACAATGTCCCAGGATAGACTGAACAGCCTAGCTCTTCTTTCTATTGAAAGCCAATTAGCCAAAGGATTGGACTTTAAAGATCTCATAAGTGATTTTGCTAACATGAAGACCTGTCAGTGGGCATTTACTGGAAAATAAATTCCAGGATTAATGTTTGAACACATTGTTGGCAAATAAAAATAATTATATGTGAAGTCTGGGCATTTCACTTTTATTATGCTGGCATTTGTATTTGCTCAATATAGAGGTTAAACTGAGATCATATTTATTATCTTGTCTTATAGCATGGCATAAAATGTGTAAGAGAGATATTACACAATTGAGCATGGGGCCCACCTAGAAGACTTGTACCTAGGGCCCAGAATTTGGTGCTACGCCCCTGCCAGGACACAATGGAGGGACTATTGGGCCATTCCCATCTGTACCGGGTCGGCCCGGGCCGGGTAGCCCCAGTCGGCCCCAGCCTGGCCCGGTTGATTCCACACATCCTTGTCTTAAGCCCATGTGGGCTGATTCTACCCACCAATCAGAGGCTTGCTCTAATGGAAGGTGTGAATTTGCTGTCAGCAGTGGGTGTGTTGGCCCTGGTCAGCCTGAAGCAGACCCCCTCGAGAAGAGGGCTGAGAATGAGCCTTGGTTGGCCCGGAAAAATACCAGGCCACCCAGATATGTAAACAACCTACGCTACCCGGCCCAGGCCGACCCGGTACAGATGGGAATGGCCCATATGTCTCTCACCTGGCCAGGGAACGCCTTGGGATTCTGCCAGAGGAGCTGGCCCAAGTGGCTGGGGAGAGGGAAGTCTGGGCCTCTCGCCTTAGGCTACTGCCCCCGCGACCCGACTCCGGATAAGCAGATGAAAATGGATGGATAGTAATAAGCTGTTAATAAGTGCTTAATAATGACTAGTTCAGACTTAGTAGTCCACTAATATGCACATTAATTGGCAGCTAATTAATGGTTAATTTGTGTTCCCTAAAGTGTTACCATTAAATTCAACAATCAGACTCGTTTACGATGTGAAATAAGTCATGAAATAATTAAAATTTGTGTAGATTCATTTATTGCAGTGAAGCAATCAAGACATTAAAACACTTCAGAAGAAACATTGTTTAACTGTTCTTAATCTTTAAGAAATCATTTCATGAGCCAAAATAAGATATTTTCATTTAAAGGGAGTCCGATAAAAGTCTCGTCTCCCGTGAGGACCTTGGCTTTGGAAGTCAGATAAGTTAGGAAATATGTCACCATCGCTTCCTCCTGGTGTCATGGACGGCGTGCTGATGAAGCAGGCCATGTCTACCTTACACTAATGTTAACCTAGATCAAAAGCCTGGGTTGATATTGCTCCAGCTCAGATTATAAAGGCTTAGATATTTTTCATGTTGGCAACTGAAAGGCAGCAGCTTTTGCAGTTTGGGTTCAAAAACAAGAACCGGACAGAAACATCCTTTAATGTCCTACAGAAGGGGGTGCAGCAGTCAGTTTTTCAGATTCCAAACAGGAAGTGTTTATTTTGAAAAACAGACTTTAGCACAAAAAAAGTTGATTTTTTTTATTTTCATGACAAATAAAATCCATCAATTATTCTCAATGAAACTGTTCCACAAGACATGAGAAAGAGATCAAAGGATTTTTCAAATCATAGCTGAAAAAATAATAAGCAACAGAGACGGAGCTGAGAGGAGCCATCTTCATGTGAAGTAATGCGGCTTCTTGACGTTTACTCCATATTCAGAGAGTGCAGGAGCCAGGTCCTCCATCATCAGGGTGTACTTCTTATCCTGTAGGTGAGAACATCAACGGCAGAAATCCACATCTTCTGTTATGTCATTAGGCGGACGCTGCAGATTTAACATGTAAACTGAAAATAAACCTTTGTTTTGCTTCTGGAGCTTCCTGAAGCTGTCCCCTTCATTTTGCAGTGCTGCAGAGCGTCATTGGCAATGTCGGAGATAAACTTCTGAGAAGCCAGAGAGATCAGACGTATTCTGTAGAGGTGCAAAAGACAAAAGCAATGGTTGGTTGTTTCTTGTCTTTTGTCATCTCACCAGTTCTTCTTAGTTTTATACCAACTACCGTTCTCATACTTACATCCTTGGATCCGAAGCCTCAAAGCCTGCCCTGTTGAGGTAGTAGCCTGTAACTGCATCAGGAATCTGAAACAAGAAAAAACAGGAACATCCTCATATTTACCAAACCGTTGCAGTGATGATTGTGGAGCTGAACTGTTTCATTACAGACACACTAGGCAGTTCTACTTGCTTTTAGCACCCCCTAGTGTCCGTTTTTAGAACCAAAGCTTAGCTTCTCGCTGCACGTTCATCTTTTTTTCACCTGAATCTAAAAGCTGAAACGTCTCCCAGCCTTCCTTAAGAGTCTACAGGAGTGATTCATCACTAAATTAAACAAATCAGCTGTGATCATGATCTAAAACAGTGCCAGGTAGGTCAGCTCTATTTTTTTTTATTCAAAAGATCGGCCCAGCAACTCTGAAGTTGTAAGTGCGGTATTCTGGCCAGACTGTGGTGAGGTCTGAGGGGCATTTCATAAACCCTGTAAAGGGTAATTTAACACAGATTGGCTCAAGAAAATGATTTAAAAATATGAAAAAGTTGCAGAGTGGCTTTAAAGGTCTCATTCACTAACTTTTCCATAAACTTGCTGTGGTCTCTAGTAAGAATTAATGCCTTGTGAGGTGTTTTCTGTGGAGGGAAAGCTCTGGCGCTCCTGTTTCAGCAGCAGAAGGGAGTTTGAGGAGTGGGGGACTGAAAACTGCAAGATTTGGAGTCTTACTCATGAATATTTATGATATGTGAACATCTCACATTGGCTAAGAGCAATGCAACTATTCTGCTGCCTCCAAAAATGCAACGTTAAATTTTTGATTTCCCTAAATAATACAAGCTCAAAAATGCAGAGTCATGTTCTGGTGTTGCTAAAGGTTAGCTTCTACCAGTCGAGACACGCTCTACTCTCTCCTGGATACTAAATAAACAGTCTAATGTGGTTGTGAGCAGTGTTGGGAATGTTACTTTAAAAAAGTAATTAGTTATAGTTACTGATTACTTTGTCAAAAAAGTAACTCAGTTAGTAACTGAGTTACAAGATCATAAAAGTAACTAATTACCAAGAAAAATAACTACTTAGTTACTTTTTTCATTAAAGCATGCAAGAATTACTACAGTAGTGAAATATAAATGACTAATTACTGGAACATAATAAAATGTATGTCCAAATGTTTTTTATAAACCTGAGTAATTTAAATAAATAAGCGCTTAACAGGAGGAACTACTAACAGGAACATTACACTTATCTAGACTATTAAAAGGTCACTGTGTGATATTTAACAAGACCACAATCAGCTAAAATTTAAAATTGCAAATAGAAACACCTGTAAAGGTTCCCAAGCCTTTAAATGGTCTCTCAGTCTAGTTAAATTACAGAAATAAATGTAATTTTGCACAGTAGTTTAATTTTTCCAGCTTCACATAATTGTGTGTTTTTAGCAGCATTTCTGTAGCTGCTAATCTAGTAATGGTTACATAAATAAATAAAATCCTTTAAAATGACACTAGAAGAGACACAAGCCTGATGGAGGACTTACATTTACTAACTTGGGTCAGACCCAACCACAGAAGAGCTGAAGCTGGGTGGTAAACACACACAGGTAGTTCTAATAACACCTGAGCTCCATGACGTCTGAGACTGATGCATCAGTGTTACAGCGGGACCAAAGACATGATCAGAAACAGGTTACAGCTGGACGATCTAGGAAGGTAGAAGATCAGGACGTCTGAGCGGTGAACAGGTGAGCGGACCTTCGGGACGTCTCGCTGTCACGCTAAGAAGGGCACGGCTGCAGACCCACACCTGCAGCAGCGAATCTGCGGGTCTGCAGCGGTAGATATTCATCACGTCTTCCTCGTTCTTCACGGGCCGTGATGCGCTTGGATGAAAACATCTGCCTTTTTAGCTCCTGATCAGCTGATGACAGCTTCAACACACCACGCTGCTTTACGCACGCATTTCCTTATCAGTAACAGAAATGATCGTTTTGATAAAAGAAGGCGGTAATTAATTAGTTTGCTCGTTACAGAAAGAAATATTTTTTTATTAACGTGGTTATTTTAAACGGCGTTTTTCCCATCACTGCTCTGTTGGGTCTACAGCATGCAGTGACTGAGACAGTGAGGGTCTCCGCCCACCCGGCCAATCATCATCGTGTTTGTAAGTGCGTTACCGACACCTCTCTCTCCCTGGCTGCAGCTGAGTGTGGCGGTCAGAAAGCCTCACACTGCTGCTCAACGTTTGACAAGCACATAGTAACGCACAACCTTCCGTCCCCAGTAACGGTAACGGTGTTTTAACAGTGGGAAAAGTAATTAGATTATTCCATTACCTAAAAAAGGACGCCGTTAGTAACGCCGTTATTTTCAACGGCGTTACTCCCAACACTGGATATGAGCCAAGGTGGAAGAGTCCCTGAATGTTGATTTTCTCTATGACGTAGAAGGGACTTGATTTCACTCACCAAACTGTTTTTCTATCTGTTTATGTTTATTCACTTAGCAGACGCTTCTATCCAAAGCGACTTACAATTTATAACCTATAGGGCATGTTGTGATCTGCGGGGGAAACCGGAGTACCCGGAGGAAACCCACGCATGCATGGGGAGAACACACAACTCCACGCAGAAAGGTCGCAGCCAAGTTTCGAACCTGCGACCTTCGTGCTGCGAGGCAACAGTGCTAACCACTGCACCACCATGCAGCCATCTATCTATTTCCTTTCTGCAGCTCGTGTAGGCAACTGGGGGCTGAAACGCTATATTCGCTGTGCATGTTATCTCATTTAAATTATATATTCTAGAGTTCTGGAACCCTCCAATGCGCTTTACAACACAATCAGTCATTCACCCATTCACACACACATTCACACCCTGGTGGGGATGAGCTACGATGTAGCCACAGCTGCCCTGGGGCGCACTGACAGAGGCGAGGCTGTCGAGCACTGGCACCACCGGTTCTTCCAACCACCACCAGCAGGCAAGGGGGGTTAAGTGTCTTGTCCATGGACACAACGACAGCAACAAACTGAGCGGGGCTCGAACCTGCAACCTTCCGATTACGGGGCGAGCCCTCCCGTGCCACCGTTGCCCCAAAGATAACAAGTGTCAGAGGTTACTAAGGGAATAGGAGCTCTCTGTGGAGGGAGCTGAGCCACTTACTGTGGGAGTGTAATCCTCCAGCTGCAGCAGGAAATCAGCCAGAGGAGTGCTGGAGATGGCCTGCTTCACGTCTCCATTGGTGATCCCACTGGGAAGGTAAACGCCGTTGGAAACTGACGTGTCAGCGGGGGGCGTGGTCACAGCAGCAGAGGCTCTAGCTGTGAATTACGGGGTTAGGAATAAAAGGTAGAAACAAGCTTTACAAATGTTTCATGACAAATATGAATATCAATACTAAACATGAACGCCGGTCTGTTTAACTACGATCTGTTGTGTTTAACATGCGTTTTAAATGAGGAGCAGTTTCACTAGCAGAGTCACGAGAATGACAGTAGTTTTATCCAAAAATCTGTTGGAAGTTGAACAAAATCCAAACGTGTGGAGGCCAAAGTTACAGTTTAGGCCCCACGGAGCCACACGACGGACACTGCTGCTCCACGGTAGGGAGACCAGGGTCAAAGGCCGAAAACCTCACCGTTACTGGTGGCTGAGAGGATCCCGCTCACGCCGGTTACTGCATTATCATTAGCTATGCAGTTACTCGTTGATGATGCCATAGTAGAAGGAACACCTGATGCAACAGAAGGGTTGTCTAAGTTCATGTTGTTGTTAGCTAACGTGCTAGCCTCGGCAGGCTAACTCAGAAGAACAAATACAAAAACACGAGTCTGAGCCGTTTAACCAGCTCTTCATTCAGCTGCGTGTTGATTAACTTAACATTATATCATTCTGATGACATTAATATAACATCATTTAGCTGTTTAAAGGAGATTTATCTGCAGCTGTCGAAAGCCACTGTGGTCAAGCGGTCCTATCTCGATTTTGACATGCGCGAGTAGACGCGACATTACGGTACTCTTACTTACGCTCACCTTTCAAAATAAAAGACAATTTCTTCGGGTGGTTGTTAAAGTAAAGGACTTCCCGTTTATCTATTATTCATTCGTAAAAGATGAATTCTAAATTACATAGAATTGTTTGTATTGAACAAATCCATATTTTGTCTTTGCTTTTACAGCACAAATTTAAAATTAGTTATCATGGATGTAGTTCTGGGAGGGACAGTGGGGGACATGTCCCCCCACTCTTTCCAAAGTCAATTTTTGTCCCCTGCACTTTTTACCATCCAAAAACTACATTACTGGTTGAGCACTAGGACCAAGCGGAAAACAGCTTGTGTTGAATCCTGTTTCTCATTAGAACTTATTGTAAAGACCCCCCCCTGGCCCTCATGCCAGTTGTGTTCCCCCCACTTCTAAAGTCAAAACTACATCCAAGTTTGTTATAATTACATTAATATTTATATGTGTTAATTTATTTCTTAAACATAAAATACATGTTCTATTGTCATTGTATTTTATTTTAAAACATTTGTAATGGATTTGTAATAGCAGATTGAGTCATTCCCAGACTGTGTGTAATTCCCTCTATTTTACAATTAATGTCAGTATGTCAGGATTATTTTCTCTGCTCTCCGGTTCCTAATAACGGTCACATTCCTGGTTTTTAACCCAACAGCATAATAGTTTAAGACCATCTAAATGTTTATGAGCATCACTGTTGATGCTAAAGAGCAGAACTGGGTTATTTATATTAATTATGTTGGCTTGTGGAAAAACATTACTGCATTTAGGTAGGTGGACGTTTTGCCCGTCTTGAGTTACCTCCGGCACACAACACTTTTATTGGCGTCTGTTCAGACCCAAGCCTGGGTCGGTGGAGCTTTTATTCCGAAAGGAGCTGTTGTCGCAGCTGGTTGTTATAGTGACTGGATTTTTCAGCTTGTCGTGGTTCTTTTGGTTAAAGAGTAAAAGGTCAGGATTGGCCACTCCGTCACTTTCTCTGGAACGCTTTGAACTGCCGTTAGAGCTGACATGGCATAGTTTTATACCTCGGATGTTATGGTTTATTGTCGAATGAAAATTACCAAACACCGTCAGAAGCACGCCTCCATCAGATCTGTAATGTTCTGATAGGATCAGTTAAAAAAATGTGTTATGTCTTTTTAACACAATGTGAAATGAGTCCTGTTGGAATCCTTAAAGTCACAGTACTTCATTTCTAAGATCATAATAAAGTAATTAATATTTTAATTTCACAGGTCGGTCACATCTTATTATTGACTAACACTTTGATGGGTTAGCTTATTAAGAGTTCTTTGATTAATTAAAAGAAAAGAGTTCATTCTTCGTTCTTCTGTCTTCATTGCTGGAACGTAAACAATTTATAAGCGAATGCATGGCCTTGGAGTTGTTTCATGCACTCTGGCACTGTGTCAAAAGGAAACAGCTGTTAGAGGGTAGAGATGGCTCCTTCATCACATTACATGGTTAACTCCTACGATTCTCTGCCAGGGTCGTAAATTGCACCAATTTGACTGGGTTTTCCTTCCTTACAAATCGGAGAAGCAGGAGGATATCAGAAACGGGTCTGTTCTACATCCACCCGTCATGACTGACCCTTACCCAAGATGGGGTGGTCGTAAAACTTCTCTGAGGTTTTCCTCTGGAAGCTTCCAGACTTGAGTCCTTATAAAACCTTGTATTTTTGTTTATCTACAATCAAAGGAGGTGTTTTGGGTTGTTTACCATTAAAAAAAATGAGGTGTTCAAAGTAAATATTTAGACTCTTATTAGTTACAAACCTAAATGCTTGTTTGTGTTCCTCTTTCATGTTAAATGTCTGCCATTTTTGTTTCTCCAGTTAAAATTCATGCTAACGGTAAAACTGTCCAGTTTTAAGACATGCATTTAGTTCTTTCCTGTTTAAAGTAATACTTTTGACGCCTCATCTGGATAACTTTGGTAAATTGTGATATGAACTTTTCACTATATGGAAAGGATGTTATTTGAAAGAGCCATAGTGCCATCCAGTGGTTAATGAGTGAAATACATGTGGGTGTGACTATGAAAGGTTATAAGAGGCCAGAGTTCAAACCTCGTGGCTGCAGAGCAAAGAACAATAGGACACCTTAAGCAAATCCCTGCTAGGCTTTTTCATCTCATCTAGCAACGCCGTCGCTCTCAAAGTTTTAAGTCATTAGCTTTCAAAAGATATAGTAAATCTCAGCAACAACTCTGTTTTTGTTAGATTTTCCACATCAAACTGGAAGTTGGTTTGGTCCAGTAAAGTTTCCACAGTACGAGTTAAACTAATTTGGAGCAGATTTTCGGATTCAACATCGCTTTTGATCATTTGGACCCGTGCTCTGAATTCCACCTTTCGGTGCAACTGAAATGAAAGAACCTTAAAGTCGTCATTCCTAGGGAACGAGGTTCTCCGAATTACACAGAGACTGTCGACCAATTTGGGGCCAAATTCCTACAGTCCCAGAAGACTATTCACTCAAGCGAGGACTTCTCAGCTGACTCAGCTTTGGCCACCCCCTGGCAATTAGGAAAAAGGTCTGTGTTTCATTTCCTTTGGCTGACTTTTTATGCTAAACCCGATTAGTGAATTCAGATTATAACATTTTATGGCAGGTTATTTTGATCCCAAATCCACATTAGCTCTTAGGATTTCTCCTCCTTTCTCTGCAGCAACGATTTACAGGCACGCACACACATGAACACATGCCCTCCTGCATTACTGCACCCATACGAACACACTCACCCACTTCACATAAACTCACATGACCATTTACTTTGTTCCCCTTTAGAAATAATCCCCAATTCTACTATAATCTTGTACATCTACCCATCCATTTTCATTCGCTTATCTGGAGTCGGGTCTCGCGGGCAGTAGCCTAAGGCAAGAGGCCCAGACTTGCCTCTCCCCAGCCACTTGGGCAAGCTCCTCCGGGGGAATCCCAAAGTGTTCCCTGGCCAGGTGACAGACATAGTCCCTCCACCATGTCCTGGGTCTACCTTTAGGTCTCCTCCCGGTTGGATGTGCCCGGAAAACCTCATAAAGGAGGCATCCAGGAGGCATCCTAATCAGATGCCCGAGCCACCTCAACTGGCTCCTCTCGATGAGGAGGAGCAGCGGGTCTACTCCGAGCCCTTCTCGGATGACCAAGCTTCTCACCCTATCTCTAAGGGAGAGCCCAGCCACTCTTCGGAGAAAACTCATTTCAAACACCTTCTCTAAATCCACAAAACACATGTAGACTGGTTGGGCAAATTCCCACGCACCCTCCAGGATCCCCCTAAGGGTATAGAGCTGGTCCAGTGTTCCACTGCCAGGACCAAAACCACATTGCTCCTCCTGAATCTGAGGTTCAACAATCCGATGGACCCCTCCTCTCCAGAACCCCTCAATAGACCTTACCAGGAAGGCTCAGGAGTGTGATCCCCTGTGGTTGGAATACACCCTGCGGTCCCCCTTTTTAAATAAGGGGACCATCACCCCGGTCTGCCAGTCCAGTGGAACTGCCCCCGATGTCCACGCAATATTGCAGAGCCGCGTCAGCCAACACAGCCCCACAACATCCAGAGCCTTAAGGAACTCTGGGCGGATCTCATCCGCCCCTGGAGCCTTGCCACAGGAGCTTTTTAACCACCTCAGTGACCTCAGTACCAGAGATTTGAGAGGCCAACCCAAAGTCCCCAGACTCTGCTTCCTCACTGGAAGACGTGTCGGTGGGATTGAAGAGGTCTTCGAAGTATTCTGCCCACCGATCCGCAACGTCCTGAGTAGAGGTCAGCAGCACACCGTCCCCACTACAGATAGTGTTGGTAGCGCACTGGGTCGGCCCGAGGGCCGTCGGGCCGGGCTTCGGGCCAATGACTGTGTAATTACCTCGGACACGGGCCGGGCCGGGCGCCTTTATCTTTAATCGAATTCATTAAAAAAAATTGAAACACAAACGCAGCAGTAGAGCCCTGCGCGGGACTGTTTTCTTCATCCCGCTCCTGCCCGCTCCCGCTGAATTTCTGACAATTTCCACCTGCAACTGCAACGTGTGTGTTACACTCCCGCCCGCACCTGCAGCGTGCATGTCTACTCCCGCCCACACCTGCAGCGTGCATATCTACTCCCGCCCGCAACCGCAAAACTCGGAGAAATTATTACCTCACAATAAAAGAGATGTATCGAGTTTGCGTCCTCTCTGGTCCTGGAGAAAACATGTCACAACCCGCGGCTCTTCCATCCATCTGATGCGGCTCTCTGTGCTTGTAAATTAACGAATGGATATTTAAATAAAATGCTTTATATTTTACTGAATTAAATTTATATCTGTAAGTCAATTCTATGTAAAGATTGTCTGCGTAAACCTGAACAGGTCCAACCCAGTCTTACTGTGAGACCGGGTTGACGAGTCACGCTTGTGCGTATGCGCTGTCTGAGCTGAAGAGATTCTGGGATTCTCCTCAGACGGCTCCTGGATGTGTCGCCACATTGGAGACAGGAACAAGCACTATTCAGCCAAAGTTTCATAATCAGGGAACATTTTCTAAGTGACAAGTCTCTCTGAGAGACAGGGTTTGGAAAACACTTGCTTCAGTGGGAGGAACCTTCCTGCATGCGCTCTGGTTCTGCGATGCGCTCCAATCCAATCTCCACAACTTCAGCTCGCTGTGCACATATGCGCTGACAGCGAGCTGTGCTGAGCAGCTCAGATGTTCAGATGGGAATCTTTTCTTGGGTGATTTAGCTACATCTGCGATGTGCATAACGAATAAAATGTCAGTTTGTCTGCATGCGTCGGGGTAATTCTTTCTATTCTTTCTCCGTCAAAATAAACGGTCAAATACGGGAACTATCCGGTCAGCACAACACAAGCCTTGCTTTAGACTGTTTTGTTTTCTTGTGAAAATTTTTGGAAAGAGATAAAATTTAACTTGATTACCACCGGAGCCAGTGCGCCGTTATCTCCGTGACAGTAAACGAGGGAAAAACAAATTGATCGGATCCTGCACGTCTTTTAACACATTGGTCAGGACTGACGCACTTTGTTTTCATTTAGTTGGTTTAAAAAAAGTCGGGCTCAGGCTCGGGCCGGGCCAGAGAATCCTGAAAACCTTTTCGGGCCGGGTCGGGCTGGGGCTCCACCCCCTCGGTCCGGGCCGGACACGGGCTCAGATTTTAGGCCCGTGCAGGGATCTAATAAGCTGGGGACTCACTGGGGATGGAGAAGACAGAGCACGCACACACACACACACACACACACACACACACACACACACACACACACACACACACACACACACACACACACACACATTTGATAGGCCCTATCAAATAAAAATGTGTTAAGCCTAGTCTTAAAAGTAGACAAGGTTTCTGCCTCACGGACTAAAGCTGGGAGTTGGTTCCACAAAAGAGGAGCCTGATAACTAAAAGATCTCCCTCCCATCCTATTTTTAGATATTCTGGGAACCACCAGTAAACCTGCAGTCTGAGAGTGAAGTGCTCTGTTGGGAACATATGGAACAATCAGGTCACTGATGTATGATGGAGATTGATTATTAAGAGCTTTATATGTGAGAAGGAGGATCTTAAAATCTATTCTGAATTTAACAGGCAGCCAATGTAGGGAAGCTAAGACAGGAGAGATATGAATGTGTCCGAATCCGTGGGCAGGACTCCTGTGAGGCCGGGTCCTTGCTAGACTGCTAAGACCGGAACCCAGCGGCTCTGAATTCGGACAGTCTAGCCTTCACCTCCTGTCACAGCCGTGGCGGCAGCTACACGCAAAGGAAAAATGCTAAAGCTAGCGAAAATGGAGCAGGAATATTAAGGAGCTACAGCAGCTTCACGTCCATCAGCAGCGTTTGTTCACAACCGTTTTCAGGTAAAGTAACTTTGTTTATTGTAGAAGCTTTCAGGACTTACATGTTAACTTTAGATGGTTTCATGTATGTTTTAAGCTACAGAATGAACTTATTAAACATACACAACACATTACTACAGAGTATTATCATGTAGGTAATTAATATAAACCAAATGCATTATTAATGTTGAATGCAGTAGGATGTTTTCTAATGTGAATTGGACCTTAGGACTTCTTATTTTGCATCAAATGAGGGTAAAATGTTTTACAAAACAGACTTTTTTAATAAAATAGCATTTAAGTGTTTTCAATGTGCATTTGTTTATTCAACTTAAGCCTAATAATGATTAGATCTGTCTTAAAAATGTAAATTCTCTGTAGTTTTCCCTGCTGCTTTTCTTTAAACTGAACAGAACCAGTGTACTGCAGGTTATATGTTTGTTTTACATTTTTCTATAAAAAAAAAACCCTCTTTTTTATCTATTACAGGTCAGCATGCACTGTGCTGCACATCTGCCTCTGTGCTGGTGAAGTTGTGGGTCTGGAGGATGAGCCTGAGGAAGATGTGTGTGGAGGAGGTCAGTGGTGCTCTGTCCTGCAGGAGGTACCAGCAGACCACCACTATTGTTAACAGGCAAGTCATTAGTCAATTCTGATCACATATAAACAATAGAGCCACTTCCTGCTTTTTGTTCTCAAGTTCTGCATGATGTTGCGACTATCACGCGACTTTCCAAGAAGCGCTCAGCGGCGCGTCCGCCTCCGGTGTGACCCAGAACTTAGGGAAATGGTAGAATTTTATCAGTTTTGACCAAAGTGGGCCAAATATAATGCAAATAATATGTTCACGTTGTTATTTCGTTATCTAAGGAACAGACCTTTATTTTCACGTCGGGTCATTTTTTTTTACCGCAGCAAGAAGAAGCACTTGTTGCCAGGTGTTAGCGCGCTGCTGAGAGGAACGGAGCTGAGATGAGGATCCAACGTGGAGCAGGAAAACAGGCAGACAGGTGAGCACATTCAAAGGGTTTTAATACTGAAGCACGCTGGACAATGAAACAATGATCCGACACAGTACAAAGAACAGACAGGGTTTAAATACAGGAGGGTTGGGAGCTAAGGTGATTGGGAAACGAGAGGCAGGTGGGAGTAATCAACGAGACACAAGGCTGAACTAAACGGGGAGACATGACCGGGTGTGACAGTACCCCCCCCCCCTCAAGGGGGCGGATCCCAGACGCCCACAGGAACGAGGAGCAGGGTGGGAGGAGGGGAACCAGGAGGAAGGGCCCAGAGGAACAGAGGGACCAGCAGAGGAGGAGGCGACGACAGGCTCTTGGAGGCCGGCGTCTGAGGCAGAGGAGGAGACGACGAGCTCTGGGGGCCGGCGTCTGAGGCAGAGGAGGAGACGACGAGCACTGGAAGGCCGGCGTCTGAGGCAGAGGAGGAGACGACGGGCCCTTGGAGGCTGGCGCCTGCGACAGATGAGGAGGCGACGGGCCCTTGGAGGCCGGCGCCTGCGACAGATGAGGAGGCGACGGGCCCTTGGAGGCCGGCGCCTGCGACAGATGAGGAGGCGACGGGCCCTTGGAGGCCGGCGCCTGCGACAGATGAGGAGGCGACGGGCCCTTCGAGGCCGGCGCCTGCGGCAGAAGAGGAGCTCTGCAGGTTGGGCCGGCGACAAAGTCACTGCAGGCTGGGCCGGCGACAAAGTCACTGCAGGCTGGGCCGGCGACAAAGTCACTGCAGGCTGGGCCGGCGACAAAGTCACTGCAGGCTGGGCCGGCGTTGCCCTCAAAACCACCATCGGAACCGGAGACCGTGGAGACGCCGGGCTGGATGGAGCGTCGGCCTCTTGAGTGCAAAGAGCATCCCCAGACGAGGCAGCGGCGATGTCATCGGACGAGCCGACTTCAGAGGACGAGGCAGCGGCGACGTCGTCAGACGAGCCGACTTCAGAGGACGAGGCAGCGGCGACGTCGTCAGACGAGCCGACTTCGGGGACGTCATCAGAGGACGAGGCAGCGGCGACGTCGTCAGACGAGCCGACTTCGGGGACGTCATCAGAGGACGAGGCAGCGGCGACGTCGTCAGACGAGCCGACTTCGGGGACGTCATCAGAGGACGAGGCAGCGGCGACGTCGTCAGACAAGCCGACTTCGGGGACGTCATCAGAGGAGGCGGCGACGTCGTCAGACGAGCCGACTTCGGGGACGTCATCAGACGGGACGTCATCGGACGTGGCGGCGACGTCATCAGAGGAGGCGGCGACGTCATCAGAGGAGCCGACTTCGGGGACGTCATCAGAGGACAAGGCAGCGGCGACGTCGTCAGACGAGCCGACTTCGGGGACGTCATCAGAGGACGAGGCAGCGGCGACGTCGTCAGACGAGCCGACTTCGGGGACGTCATCAGACGGGACGTCATCGGACGTGGCGGCGACGTCATCAGAGGAGGCGGCGACGTCATCAGACGGGACGTCATCGGACGTGGCGGCGACGTCATCAGACGGGACGTCATCAGAGGAGGAAGCGACATCATCAGAGGAGGAGGTGACGTCATCAGAGGAGGAGGCGACGTCATCAGACGGGACGTCATCAGAGGAGGCGACGACTTCGGACACGTCGTCATCAGAGGCGACGACTTCGGACACGTCGTCATCAGGGGCGACGACTTCGGACACGTCGTCATCAGGGGCGACGAGTCGTCATCAGGGGCGACGACTTCGGACACGTCGTCATCAGAGGCGTCGACTTCTGGACAGGCGACGTCATCAGAGGCGTCGACTTCTGGACAGGCGACGTCATCAGAGGCGTCGACTTCTGGACAGGCGACGTCATCAGAGGCGTCGACTTCAGAACACGAGGAAGAGGCGTCGACTTCAGAACACGAGGAAGAGGCGTCGACTTCAGAACACGAGGAAGAGGCGTCGGCCACAGGACTGGCGTCGGCCACAGGACTGGCAGGGGCGTCGGCCACAGAGCCCTGGACCGTCGACTTCTGGACCGTCGACTTCTGGTCCGGGGGCGTCGACTTCTGGTCCGGGGGCGTCGACTTCTGGTCCGGGGGCGCCGACTTCTGGTCCGGGGGCGCCGACTGCTGGACCGCCGACTGCTGGGGCCGACCCGTCCGCTTCGGGGCCAGAACCGGAACCGTCTGCTTCTGGGCCCATCCCTTCTGCTTCTGAGCCCGTCCCTTCTGCTTCTGGGCCCTCTGGAGTGGAGGCGAGGCAGCTGCAGGAGGGGCTGCCTGGACAGGCTGGACTGGAAGTCGTGGAACTGGTAGGGCTGGAAGCCGTGAGAGCAGGGGGGACAGCCCGTCCAGCTGAAGCTCCTGGAGGTTGAGGGTTCGATGGAGCTGGGCCAGTTCAGCCCGGAGACCAGCGAGCTCCGCTGGGTGGACGGGCTCACTCCTCTCCTGGCGGTTCGGGGAGGATAGAGTGTCCAGGTGACTCTCCTGGAGGCTGACGAGCTGGCGGATCTGGTCAAGCTCCGCCTGGAGCTCCATCAGCTGGGCTGTGGGCGTGGTTCCTCCGCCTGCAGATGACGAAGGCGCTGGTTGGACCGGAGACGAGACTGCTGGTCTGACTGGGGGCGTGTCCAAGTTGGCGCACTGAGCCAGAACTGCAGCGAGCTCGCGGCTCCGTCCATGGACCAGCCGCTGCGGTGGAGCCCGGCATGCCTCCCCACGCCGTGGGCCAACTCCCGGGGAGCACACAGCCAGGCGGGTGCCCACGAAGCTGGAGCGATCCGGAAGCGGCTCCCGGTCCGACCCCTCGTCCGGTTCCGGGAGAGCAGCGAGGATTGCTGCGGCTGATGGCCGAGGACGGCGTTTTCGGCGAGGCAGAACTGAAGCAGGGGAAGGCGATGGAGAAGCTGGGTGGTGGCTCGGAGTGAGCCACTGAAGCAGGTGCTCCCACGGGAGAATCTCCTCGCTGGATCTCACAACGGGTTTTGGTCGGATCATTCTGTCAGCGCGCTGCTGAGAGGAACGGAGCTGAGATGAGGATCCAACGCGGAGCAGGAAAACAGGCAGACAGGTGAGCACATTCAAAGGGTTTTAATACTGAAGCACGCTGGACAATGAAACAATGATCCGACACAGTACAAAGAACAGACAGGGTTTAAATACAGGAGGGTTGGGAGCTAAGGTGATTGGGAAACGAGAGGCAGGTGGGAGTAATCAACGAGACACAAGGCTGAACTAAACGGGGAGACATGACCGGGTGTGACACCAGGACACAATGGAGTACAGTTCTGTTCCAAATGCCGTCCTCGTCTTCCTGTACTCGGTAGAACGAACTTTCTGGTGTCCTTGCCAAGAACATACTTGTCTAGTACACAAGAACGTACAAGCATCCTTGAGTATTGAGAAATGGCCTCTGGTAGGGGACGACTTGCTCTTTAAGGGGTTGGATTGGGGGATTAAACCACCAAATGGGTCCTGAGCACAACCATCTGCAGCTCACCACTCCCCACGAGGGTGGGTCAACTTCGGAGGACCATTTTCACCCCACTAGTGTGTGTGACAACTATGGGACATTAGTCTTTAATCTGCAAAACATGGGTTATCAATTAATATCAGTGCATCTTTAATTATTAGTATTAATATTACCTGTTTGATTCCACTGACTCATTCAACTTCGGAGTGATACTAGACCTTCTCCACTTGGCCCTCACCAATTTTCAACCAGATCTGATGTGGGTTTTCAAAATAAAACCCAAGTTTAAAGCAGTCATCAGATAAATGTTGGTGCTATTTAGATTTTAGTTTCGATTGCACAGACGCACTTGAATTCAGACTAATTCAATTCAGTTTATTTATATAATATTTACTAATAGCATTTAACTGATAGACTATCAACAACTGAGTGGTTACCGCAGTCAAGCGGACCACTGGGCTTCAGTGGCAACACGTGTGAAGAGTTGCTGGTCGTGGGTGCACCTCTTTTATAAAAAGTTTACTTAATTACTATAGTTGGTAGGTGAAGAGAAAGATTAGGGCTTATTAGTAACTCAGATTATATTCTCTGAGCATGTTGCCATGGTTGCAGCCAAAGCTAATCATGCACCAGGTATCTGGTCCAGTAGGTGTCAGAAAAGCACCTGCTGGCTGTCTGCCAGCCAGCCTCGGCAGGTGGAGCCAAATCAGTAGATCCAGGTGTGTCTGCTCCCGGAAGTGAAGAAACAACAACCAGAAAGACTCTGAGCTGCGACCGGTCCTCAGGTAAATAAACCCTTAATCAGGAGTCTGGGTTAGATTGTTGCTTCAGCTGGGATGTTTCATGATGCTGATGTCATCAAGGCGTTATCAGAGTAAAGCTGTGGGTACTTTGTCAGCTAAAAGGGTTCAAGGGTTCATTCGTTTACTCGCAGCTGTGTTGGGCTAACAGTGGGCAAAGTTTTCACATTTGGGCTCAAGCACAGAAGGGTTACCATAGTAACACATTTACATGACCCCTACAGGCTGAGAGCAAGCAGACCACTCTCCTGTTACTGAGTCGTGCTAACTTGAACTGGTCTTTACTGAGTGTGATAATTACCTGTGCTGCTGACACAAGACTTTACAGGTTACCATGGTAACAGCCCACCTGTGTGTGCGAGAGACATTTGTGATGACATCAGATGAATACTGAATAACTCATGATTGCTCACTGGGACAAAAGTCCTCCGACTGGCTCTCTGATCGGGTCACTGATTAACTGATCAACAGTGAGAAGCAACAAGCTGCTGCCAGACTCCAGACTATTTTATTCTGATCACAGGGTCAGATTTGAGAGAAGCCCCACAGTTGATGCAACTGACTGAAAACATTAAAACACACCAAGAGTCTCAACAATCTGATCTCCGTGCAGCGCGCTGGAACTCATCGTTAACACCCGTTAGGTTTGAAGTTCTTACCCCAGATTATAATCTGATGAGTTCCAGAGCAGACCGAACTGTCTCGTGCTTCTGACAGAGCTGGTGATGGACTCCAAAAGCACCCAGCAGGAGCTGCAGCAGCAGTTCAACGATGTGGTCTCCAGACTGGAGTCTAAGCAGTTCTTCCAGTCTGACTGGGACACTGCTTTTTTCATCCTCTTCTTCATCTTCTTCGGTGAGTGAAGTTTGAGCACTTCTGCAGTACACAGAACCGGTCTGCCTTTACGAGGATCACACCTTCCCCGCCGGCTAAAGCCTTCACCGCTCCCCTGGGAACCAGGCAGCTGCGTCTGGTTTGGGTCAGGCTGCAGATGCTGGCAGGTTGTAATTCTGACTGTGTTTAGGTACGGTGCTTCTGCTCGTCCTCCTGGTCCTGATCCGCTGCTGCTGCTGCTGCTGCTGCGATGGTGAAAAGGTAAACACACTAACAGACACCAGCGGAAGCCAGTCCACATTTCTGGGTGTAAACCTCCAACGTTCTCTAGATAGTCCTGATCCCTGGAGCCACACCTTCTCAAAAAGCCCAGATCATCTCTTTTCTGTCTTCATCCCGGTCTCAGTGAACAGTTTTAGCTCTGCCTCACCTCTACGGGGGAGGTCCCTCTTACCTGCTCCAGGCACCTGAGAAACTTGATAAAGGCAGAGCAGTCACAGTGCAGAAGGAGCGGCATAAGAAACTAGAGGCTGATGAATACATGAAAGTTGGGACAGGTTTGAGGTCATGAGGAAGCTGAGTCCATCTGTGAGCAGCATAAAAGCGGCTTCACCCGGTTTGGTTCTGACCCGGGGTTCTACCAGCTGACTTTCAATGAGAAAATCCTAAAATAAAGATGCTCCAGAGAGCCACAACCACCGCGTTGGCCGTTTACACAGGAATGAGTGTCTAAGAAGAGCAACGACATCGTCTTTCCTGTCAGAACAAAGCACGTGTAGAGATGTGGAGATTCTGCTGGTGCACGCATGCTGGCCCGGTTCCAAATGACAGATCTTTTGGACTATGTGAGTGAAGATTAGTAATGGGTGGTATGGATGTGTGAGAACATCTGAATGTTGTAGCTAAATCCAGACTCATCATACCAGAAAAGATCTGACCATTCTCTCTGTATACCTGAGGTTTTGGTCGTGGGTTCAAATCCCAGTTAGTCAGCCTAACCCCAGCCTTTAGAGAACTTGTGTTTATTCAGTAGAATGACTGGAGGTTCTGTTTCTATTTTCTCTGCAGCCACACAAGAAGGTCGGGATAGAGAACATGGGCCTGGAGCCCTGACCGCTGACCTGGACTGACCCGCCGTCGTCCTCCTCTGTGCCAAAACACGAGCCTTCCTCCAGCTGTGAGCTCTTAGTGCTGCACCTGAAACTAGAGCGGGTAGATGCTCTGGTCTGTCCTGTCTGCATTCATTTCTTCCTCTGCTGAAAGAATTAATATTTAAATTATTTACTTGCTAATAAAGTATAACCTCTTTGACCTGCTTGGTGTTTTCTCTCTGGAAGGTTGAGCTACCACGGACCTCCAGCGGGTAAATAATTCACCGTGTGACGTCCAGAAAGGGTCCATTGTCACCTACACGTTGACCGGTCATCTACTGATGTAATTCCATGTTCTAGGGGGGATTTTAAACTCTATCTTCTACCCAGACGTTTCTGCAGTGCTTGTTGACATTCAGGAGGACAAGATTGTCAGCCTGTGTCTCCAAACAAAGCTTTCCTCTGATAAGACTGCAGGATTTCACTCTGAATGAAAAGCGAACTTTTACAACTCATAAGTTAAATAATCATAAATATATGGTTGAATGAACCAGATGTTATATGAATAATATTAATGTTTGAATAATCTGTGCCTAATTCAGTGAAGTTGAAAGGAATATAATTATTACAATGATCCATTTTGATGTCATGATCAGTAATGTTTGATTTAACAGGTGAATCATTATCTACACTCAAACAAGATGTTCATAAAATATAAATTACGGTTAAGGTCACATCTCACAGAAGTTTAAAGATCCTTTATCCGCAGAACTAGAACAGCTAGTATCTGGGAGGTGTGGTTTTCTGAGGGATGTTGGTAACGTCGACAAACATGACAAACTCCAGATTAATAAAACTAGGATGACTTCCCGAGTAATTCAGGTTTTTGAGCAGAACTTCAAAGTGGCCAATCCAAACCATCAAAGCTTTTGACAAGCCGTCAAAGCCCGTCTGCAGCTGGCACACTAACAGCTCCTTCAGAGCACTGCTGTTCTAGACGCAACCAAAGTCCTGTTGTGATCCGAGAGACGACTCTGGACTGACCTGGTCGCATTGCGGTTAATCTACGAACTTCAATGCCTTGGGTCACCCCCCCCCCCCCCCCCCCCCCACCCGTACGTAGTGTGTACGTAGACACAAGATTGCGTCTGATGCAGTTTTATTAATCAACTCTAGTTTATAGCAGACCACATTCTTTTACACCCAGAACTCAGTTTCTTCCAGATACAAAGGTTCTGATGTACATCTACTTTACAACATCATCACACATTATTCATAAGTTGTCATGCATTATAATTAGTCTAGAAAATAAAGTTTATTAATTATATACGGACTGTCAGAATTAATACGAAGTGTGTTTATGGTCCCTGAATAAGCAAAGAATCCTAAATTCTTCTGATTAAACATTCAAAGATGAACCAGGTTGATATTCTATATTTATATAGAATCATCACATCTTATTGGTCATAATTTAACCCCCCAATTTCATTACATTACAACCAGTTGTTTAAATCCTTAAATCACAGGTCACCGCTGCTCTGGACAGGCATAAAGAGAGCCGTGAAACACATTAGCAGGTACATTAGTAGCTTTATTGCACAGAAAATTCATTTCCACATTTCAGATTACTGGTAGCTTATACAACATAACACTTACTGGAATTAAGTCATTTGTTCCTGATTAGTGTGTCTGTTTCACAGGTAAGGAGCAAAATAAATACATACAGAGCAGCAAAAGAATCAGGCCCACGTGAGGAATGATCAGATAACAACTTAAAACAGCTCCACCGTCCCCACCTCTGATACTAAAGTCGCCTGTGTGTATTTCACACACCAGCACAGAAACCTCCTCACAGCTGATGTAAACAAACCCCTGGAACCACAGCAACAAGCATCAGGTCAGCTGGTGCTTCTGTGGGACAAGGAGAGGCTTCTGGCAGATCCCAGGTCAGAAGCAGAAGCCTGACCCTCGCCACAGATGAGAACTCACTTTGATTCTTTCCACCTGACTGATCTGGGATCTGCTCATCTACTACTGGCCTGGAGGTCTTCCATCTCTTAGTTCATGGTGCAGCAGCACTGCATTAGATAGGGTCACCAAAGAGTCCATAAGACCTAGAGAGAGAGTGTGTGTGTGTGTGTGTGTGTGGTGACCCTGAGTGTTCTACATGATAAGAACTGATAAATATTAAATAAACTCAGAATAACAACAATCACTCACTGATATAAAAATTCTGATCCGACTCAAACCAGTTGGGTCTGACTGGCTCCGTCACATAATGGTGCAACACTTCAGGCTGGTTCCCAGAACAAAGAACGTACAAAAATAAAATCCTTCCAGAACATCCCTTAGTCCAGTTAGGAGCTCTCAGCAGGACTAGAAGGGTCTGTAGTTCCAGAAACTGGAGAAGACTGATATCTGCAGGACAGAAGTACAGCTCAGTTCAGACACCAGAACCTTAACCAGAACTGTCCCATCAGAAAAAACATCATCCGCTTTAATCCTGATCAGATGAACTGGTCATTAGATAGAGTATCTTACAGCTGATCAGCACCAGCTCCTCTGCAGAAGCACCAGCTTAGGCAGTTTGCTGCTCTGGAGCATACAGGTTAACAGAAGCAGACAGAAAACTGGGTCTACCCAGAGCTCCTCCTTCATGAAGAAGGTGAGACATGACAGGTGCTAAAAGCCTGCCATTCTGCTCAATTCTGAGTCGGCACAAATCCAGCTGCCTAGCTACAGACAACCTGATCCACCTCAGACCTTCAGGGACCTGGTTCTGTGTATGGTGATGTCATCTGAGTGAAGGTGGTTGTCCTTTTCTGTCTTCTATGGATGATCCCTTCTTTTATGACTCACATCACAGTGAGTGTGAAGCTGCTGTCATTTAATGTTGAAAATGAGATTTTATTGTTTAAACTCTTAAAGACTCAGAGCTACAGAAGGTTCCAAGATCAGGTCCATTTGTATGTTAAAGATCATGTGATCTCCATGTTCCTCCCCGACATCTAGATGTAAATAAAACCTGAAAGTATAACAAGCGAGATCTGAGACAGTCTGCTGTCAAACTCTGGCGGTTCCAGTTCCGTCACTGTTGGTTCCCTCACTGACATTACCCTCACTAACGGTTCTTGCTCTGACGGTTCCCTCACCAACGGTGACGGTTCCCTCACTCACTGTTCTTGCTCTGACGGTTCCCTCATTGACGATTCTTGCTCTGATGGTTCTTGCACTGACAGTTCCCTCACTAATGGTTCTTGCTCTGACAGTTCCCTCACTAACGGTTCTTGCCCTGACGGTTCCCTCACTGACGGTTCTTGCTCTGACGGTTCCCTCACTAACGGTTCTTGCTCTGACGGTTCCCTCACTGATTGTTCTTGCTCTGACGGTTCTTGCCCTGACGGTTCCCTCACTCACTGTTCTTGCTCTGACGGTTCCCTCAATGATTGTTCTTGCTCTGACGGTTCCCTCGCTGACGGTTCTTGCTCTGACGGTTCCCTCACTCACTGTTCTTGCTCTGACGGTTCCCTTAATGATTGTTCTTGCTCTGACGGTTCCCTCACTGACGGTTCTTGCTCTGACGGTTCCCTCATTGACGATTCTTGCTCTGATGGTTCTTGCACTGACTGTTCTTGCTCTGACGGTTCTTGCACTGACTGTTACCTCACTAATGGTTCTTGCTCTGACTGTTACCTCACTAATGGTTCTTGCTCTGACTGTTACCTCACTAATGGTTCTTGCTCTGATGGTTCCCTCACTGACGGTTCTTGCTCTGACGGTTCCCTCACTCACTGTTCGTGCTCTGATGGTTCCCTCACTGGTTGTTCTTGCTCTGACGGTTCTTGCCCTGACGGTTCCCTCACTAACAGTTCTTGCCCTGACGGTTCCCTCACTGACGGTTCTTGCTCTGACGGTTCCCTCACTCACTGTTCGTGCTCTGATGGTTCCCTCACTGATTGTTCTTGCTCTGACGGTTCTTGCCCTGACGGTTCCTTCACTGACGGTTCTTGCTCTGACGGTTCCCTCACTCACTGTTCTTGCCCTGATGGTTCCCTCACTAATTGTTCTTGCTCTGACGGTTCTTGCCCTGACGGTTCCCTCACTGACGGTTCTTGCCCTGACGGTTCCCTCACTGACGGTTCTTGCTCTGACGGTTCCCTCACTCACTGTTCTTGCTCTGACGGTTCCCTCACTCACTGTTCTTGCTCTGACGGTTCCCTCACTGACGGTTCTTGCTCTGACGGTTCCCTCATTGATGGTTCTTGCTCTGATGGTTCCCTCACTCACGGTTCTTCCTCTGACGGTTCCCTCACTGACGGTTCTTGCTCTGACGGTTCCCTCACTGACGGTTCTTGCTCTGACGGTTCCCTCACTCACGGTTCTTGCCCTGACGGTTCCCTCACTGACGGTTCTTACTCTGACAGTTCCCTTACTGACGGTTCTTGCTCTGATGGTTCCCTCACTCACGGTTCTTCCTCTGACGGTTCCCTCACTGACGGTTCTTGCTCTGACGGTTCCCTCACTGACGGTTCTTGCTCTGACGGTTCCCTCACTCACGGTTCTTGCCCTGACGGTTCCCTCACTGACGGTTCTTGTTCTGACGGTTCTTACTCTGACAGTTCCCTTACTGACGGTTCTTGCCCTGACGGTTCCCTCACTGACGGTTCTTGCTCTGACGGTTCCCTCACTCACGGTTCTTGCCCTGACGGTTCCCTCACTGACGGTTCTTGTTCTGACGGTTCTTGTTCTGACGGTTCTTACTCTGACAGTTCCCTTACTGACGGTTCTTGCTCTGATGGTTCCCTCACTCACGGTTCTTCCTCTGACGGTTCCCTCACTGACGGTTCTTGCTCTGACGGTTCCCTCACTGACGGTTCTTGCTCTGACGGTTCCCTCACTCACGGTTCTTGCCCTGACGGTTCCCTCACTGACGGTTCTTGTTCTGACGGTTCTTACTCTGACAGTTCCATTACTGACGGTTCTTGCCCTGACGGTTCCCTCACTGACGGTTCTTGTTCTGACGGTTCTTACTCTGACAGTTCCCTTACCGACGACTCAAACCAGAGCCTCACCTGTGCTTAGGGTTAGGTGAGGTGGTGTTTTTTTGTGTTCATGCAGAAGCATTAAGGACCAGAGAGACACGGGGGCTTTTGAAGACCTCACCTTGTCTTTGAGCTGTTGACAGAGCTGCAGGGAAATGGTGAAGAACACCAGAGTGTCATTGAGCCATGGCACCACACACTCCACTTTGTGAACATGGCTGACCTCAAAACGGTTATTGTTGAGCTCGCTGTGGGATCAAACAACAACAGTTATTATTGTTTACTCTAGAATATTTAGAGCATCTGAGTAAACACAAATATTATTTTGTGCAGTTTAAAGAAGTTCCAGAATGTTCTGAAGAGAATTAGATACAATAATTATAAAGTTCTTTCTACATAAAATGAACTTCAAGAGCAAGTAACCCCAAATCAACCTTTTGGCCTAATAAACTCTAGAAATGTGTCTAACAGGGCTGTCAGTCCCTTCCCCTAGCACCTCTCTCTAGGTCCGCCAGGCGACGCCACCTTTTGATGGGTTTATCAAACAGGAAGTGTGGGTGGAGTAAGACTCTGGTATGGGGGTGACCTCCTCTTCACGCCTGTACCCATTTCTACTGAGTTTTTGAAGCAGGCTTTCAGGCCAGCAAGAAGCTCCAGGACCACATCCTAAAACTGATCCAGTTGTGGGATTGTGGCTCCACCAGTGCCGCTGTGAGAACAACTGCAGCTCAGGGAGGAATGTTTCGGAGGGGGGGTCTGATGTCAAGAAACGCAGCAAAGAAGCCACTTCTCTTTAGGAAACCCCTAAAGTTTACTGGAACACCATGGTGTTTATCACTATGATCATACAGTAACTATAACCTGACTGGCGTTTTTTAGCTTCTTTTATAAGACAGACCATTGCGTCGTTACAGAGTGATGAATCTGAATTTGTTGGGTCTCGTAAACGCGGCAAGGAGCAAAGAGGAAAGGTGACAAAGCTCGATTCTGATGCGCTTAGCCTCGTAGTAATATTGCCGCATGAGCCCCTAACCTCTGACGGCTAAAGGCGTGTCAGCTTCGCTAATCCCTCTGGAGCGAAAAGAGGGTGGTTGTGTTAGTGACGTATGCTGCGCGCCGAGTGCCGGCCGGAAGGGATATAAACACAGATAAACACGACCTCTCACTAGTATCTTTCAACCACCTACAACATGGCAAAATGGACGGACGCGGAGACCATGGAGCATTTGGCCGTGCGAGCGGACGAACAGATTACGTCGCCTTTTTACTGGGACGGTGAGAGACGGCCAGCTGTTCGACAGAGTGGTGAAAACACTGGCTGAGCGGGGCGTCACGCGGGACAAAAAGCAGGTCACATCAAAGCTAAAGGCCCTGAAAAAGAAATGCCATCAGTCTGACGTGTCTTCCGTCTGACGCTGAATGTGCGACCCTGTACGTCACATGCTGGGGGGGGGGCGCCCAGCGACCTCCCTTTATCCCGTCCTGGTTGGAGAGGTGCCTGATGGCAGTTTATTCTAGCTTCAGCTTTGCTGCTATAAATGCCAAAATCCTCCCCAGGGAGCCGCGGCAAATCCCGTTTTGCAAACGCTACGGTCCTGTAAAAGCAGCTGCTGATTTCATCATCTGCTGTCCCAACCTGGACATTTGTGTGTACATCTACATAACTAATCCAGATAACTAAAGCCCTCTCCCCGCTGATGATGTTTCTGATTTGGGATAAAGGGTTAGTAAATCTGTCCAAACTACTGAAAACATGAATTAATATGTTCCAGAAAATTGATTAATCTTCAAAAATGAGACTTACAACATGGCACCGGGGTTGTGCAACACCGAGCTCCCAACTGGCTTGAAATTCTAAGGAGACAGAAGAAAACCCAGTCCAGTATCAGTCAGGTGGGCTTTGTAAGGCTTCATGAGGAGCTTTAAGATGCCTTGTGTTCAAACCTTGGTGGTGTTTGGAGGCAGCACGTGCAGCTGGTAGACGGTCAGACACAGTTTGCTCAAGTTTATGTAAAAGTTCACCATCACATCACCAGGCATTGGAGGGGTGAACATTTTCTGAAGATCAAACAAAAGATTGATCTGTGGAGCCTGGTTTCATATTACCTCCAGATGCAAGACAGTTGTTAGTTCCACAACCAGAAGACAGAATCACACTGGAAGCTGTGTGATCTGTGTCATTAAAGCATGACAGAATGCTCAGACATTAGCTCTGGCGTTAGAGCTAATGTCTGAGCTAACAGCAGACCCAACAGCAGGGCTAATGTTAGCTCGGACAACATCTTGGGTTCATGTCAACACTGAGTTTGTGTGTGAAGTGCACGCTGGTCCATACCATGAGACCACTGGTTGCGAGTTCTGGAAGTGTCAGAGAAGCCGGGGTGGTGAGGCGGTTCCGTGCCCGAGTCAGCTGCAGCATCACAGCATCCATGAGCTACAGCATCAGTAGAAAAAGAAGGTTGTTATAAGAGGTGACAGAGATGAGGGGCCTGAGGTGAGCCGGACCGACCTTATTAACCTCAGCACCCGTCTTAAACTGGTAGCTCTCATCATGGCTGCCCAGCAGCTGCAACGCCTGGATCACATGGTTCCTGGCATCTTGGATCTAAGGACATAGACAAGTGAGATTGATTCAGAGTGGAGTCAGGAAATGACTGATAAACTTCATAATTGGTGATGGAACTGGATAAAGGTAAGTCAGAAACTAACGCCCAGACATTCACCACAAGCATCTTTTTGTCCCATGATTTATGAATGAATGTTCTGAAGCAAGAACCAGAGATACTAGCAAACTGTGTTCATTTTCACATGAAAACATTATTCTAATAATGCAAGGAGGTAAACTAAAGGTAAGAAATGTCTTATGGTGTGTTTATTAGAGTTTTACCTGCACTAATTTACCAAGGTGGGCTGCCTGACAATTTTTTTCCTCACAAAAACATCGCAAGAACACTGAAGGCTGATAATATCGCCACAAAACAATAAAACAACCAGATGCTCCGCGTGTTCGGGTTGGCTCCAGCGATCTCCCCCAGCGTTGCCAACTGTTTTTGACTGAAAGTAGCTGAACTTCCCCCCAAAAGTCGCTAGATGTCGCCAGATGACATCATGTGCTAATTTGCATGCGACGCAATGACGTAATCTGGTTTGCGTGATGACGTCACCGGTCTTGTAGAGTAAATCAAATAAAACCTGCGTGATTTTATATAAAAAAAATGTTTTTATTATATTTTATTAAAATAAAAACTCCATAGAATACAAAACAGCAGCCTTTACAACATCAAGGAAAGGTGGCACAAATAAATGGAAGGAATATTTATATTTTGTCTGAAGAGAATGGAACTCTTAAACACAAAAATATTAAATCGATAGGAATGTATGTATGATTGAATTTAAATGAATTTTCTCTTGTAGTTGTGCCTTGAGGTGTATTCTTCTGTTGTGATTCAGTGCTATATACTGACCTAACAGATAATATATATATATATATATATATGTGTGTGTTTTGTTTTTGTTTGGTTTTGTTGTTTTTAGTACTTTAGTGTAAAAAGAAGCAGGCCGTATTTAGTATTCAGAAACGTTACATGCAAACTGCCAATGACCTGAGGTGTTTGTCTTACAGTATTATTCTGTTTTTTATAAAAGTTTTAAATGTGCTACATTATTGAAGTCATCATAGAGTTCCAATGTTCCTTGAATGCACCACAAGTGGTGCGAGAAGCCATGTGTGAGTGCGACGCTGCCAGCCAGTGCCAGCCGAGCTCAGCTGCCGAAATGCGGCAGGATGGCGGAAGGAGCGGTCGCCCTTTATGAAGCGCCGGTGGCGATCTCAAATAATGGACTTGTGAAAACCCACAAAAGGTTTGATTGGCCAACGGGGGTAGCGTGATCATGCTGCACGCACATGCGCAGATCATTTTCTTTCTGATCCTCTGGAAGGAAGGACGGTCCCGTCGCTTCAGATGCATCTCTAATCTGCAGGTAAAGTCGGCTACAAAGTTGTAGTCAAAGTAGCTGAGGGGGGTCAGAAATGTCGCCAGATTTGTCGCTAGGCGCTTTTTTGAAAAAAAGTTGTTAAGGGGGTCCGAAAAGTCGTTAGAAATGGCGACAAAGTCGCTAAGTTGGCAACACTGATCTCCCCTCCCACCAACGCTGCTGGTAACAACACCGTAACACTTTTATAACCCCGGATGTGGACTCACCAAGCAAATACTTTTCAGATCATCACATCTACTGTTTTAACTCCCAGCCGTGGACGTAGGTCTGTTCCTCACACTGTTTCCGTGTTTTGATTGAATTTGTGTTGCTGTCAGTTTTCATTGTCGCCTTTCATTCATCAGCTAAAATGTCAATATTCGTCATAATTTTGTTTTAATAGAAGTGATCAGTTTTAGTTCATTTTTGCTGCAGAAATTAATTCCTCACGAAAAACAAACAAAAATATTTCATCAATGTAATGAACACTGCTAGCCAAGAGGTTGTAGCCAATTCGTGAGCAACAATCCCGAGTTATGGACCAAACCATTACCTTTTCAGGCATCAGGTATGACTTTTTTACGCAAGTCTGTTAAAATGATAGTCTTACCCAGTACCGTAATATAATGTAAGAAATACGTCTTTTTATTTTTTTGGAGTAAGCCCACCCCCAATACCGTAGAGCCCCATGCAATTGGAATTGAGCGCCATTTGGCATTAGCCAATAGCGTTAGACATCTGCTTACATACAGATGTCAATCACAGAGCATGCACGCATGTTTGCAGACATACCTAGACTGATGTACTGTTTTCTTAAATTTCAGGATGCTTTTACATAATATGCCCAAACGGGGTGTCCACAGGTCTGGAGTTCTCTCTTGTTGTGTTTGTGTACTTTGTCTTTTTCTTCCTTTTTTATGGGGACTTGTTCCTCTCAACGCGGTCATGTTCTGATCACCTACAGCTTATGAGTGGTGGGAACCCTTTAAGCACCAAAGTTGCAATACTGTGTTTAACGAGCCACCGCTGCAGATATAATCCCTCAGTAAGTTATTACTTTACACCAGTGGAGATGTGTAACACTAGCGCATCCAGCAACACTTTTGGGTGCTTTTATTGACTTTTACGGAGTTTATAGAGTTTGAAAACTGTCCCCTGTAGAAGGCTCCCGACTAAGGACAGGAGGGGAGCGGAGCACACAGACGTTGAATATTATTATTATAGATCCTTTGCTGCGTGATGTCACATGTCCACACCCTGCCTCCCAGCTCTGGGCTGGAGGCCAAGAAGATGGCACCTCTCCATTGACCACTGTTGTGTTCATCTGTTAGCTGTCAATAAATAGAGGTAAATAGCAGCAAAATAAAACCCATCAGCATGATGTAATGTAGACGAAGGCCCTGTATTTGTTTGCAGCCTGCTCCTTCAGTGTGACAAAGGTTAACTTTCTGCCCAAGACACAGATTGTGTTGGCCTCACACCAGGAGGAGTCGTCTCCTTAGTTATCCTATCCTTATCAGCTTCAAGGTCTCCTCACAAGACATCCCTACAGGAGAGAAGACTTTTCTCTAACTCCTTTTTAATAAAAATATCTGATTCCGGCTCAGAAAGCAATTCCTTTACTTTACAGGTTAAGAACAATTACATTAAACAAGGAATGTTTATCTAAAGTGTTTTAATAATGTCTGGACCGTTTAAAATTAATGAATTAATCAACATAAATGTTTATTCTTAAGCTTTCTTTCAGATCTTATATACACGAAATGAGTACTTGGTGAGTTTAATAATGAGTTATTATAGTATATTTACATATTAGTATTGGTATATTAACAAAGGAATGGTTAACATATTTGCTTCATATTAAGTGAAATAGGCTTTCTTGAGTGTCTGAGGAAGGAGTGACGTTTGAGGACCATTGGTAACGCCCATTTGCATTTTGATTTGTCCAGAACTGATAAACAAGAAATGTTAATTCAAATTAAAATTCAAAGATACTTTATTAATCCCTGAGGGAAATTTGGGTTTCAGTACACACAATTCTGAGATCAGACATACATAGGCATAGACACATGACAAGAACTGGTGACTGTGGTCATTCGCAACCCGAGTCGCGCTACCTTAATAGAGATCAGAGGGTTTACATGAGGATTGAGTCAGGTGGAGGAAAAAAAGGAACTTCAGAGTTACCCTCCACAGGGAGGGCAGCTTTGCTCTGCAAGAAAACACCTCAGACAGAAATGCAACAGACTTCAGACATTACACAACATAAGTGTCCACTAGGTGGGGAGGTAGGGTTGGGGACTCTCCAAACATCAGTGCATGCAGCCGCGATAAGCAGCGCTCGTCACCTCTGTTTGGACAGGGGAAGGAGGTAGTTGGGTTAGAGAGCACAGTGACTCCTGGAAACGATTCAACGGTCTTCACCGGTCACAGTCCCGCCCAGGCTGGGATAGGGAAACAGAGTTACCATGGCGACGGCGGCCTGCCACATTTCTTCTGAGGGGGAGTAATCACTTCAGCCTCACAGGCTCAAGGGCACCAGATTCAGATAAGAACTTGTTTTGGGACCAGACAGAGATAATTTCCTCTCTGTCTTAAAGTTCTGTTGGTCCCCAACCCCTCTCAATCCAATAATGGCGTAGATTAATCTATCCCAATCCGTGCTGATCCAACAACTCTATCCTTGATCGCATCCATCTTTTGTGTCAGAGTCTGAATCTCAGCCAAAGTTCCAAGCTTACGACTAATCTCGACAATTATATGAGTCTGTGCATTCACAGCGCGGTGTAATCCATCCCTGAGCTCCGGGAAAGAGCCAGTATTCCTGGATAGCTCATTAATTTTCCGGTAAACCAGGTAACCTCCCAGGCCGAACAGCACAAAACCCGACACCAACACCACAAATATCCACACGTCTTCAGAATCCTCTACATACAGTTGAGAGAGGCAGATCAGGTTCCACTGTTTCCAGGAGTCCATGATATGCCAGACTGGCTCTGTCCCAGAGGGGCAACCGGGAGCCCCTTCTCCCATTCTCATTGTTGAAAAAAATTTGTTAATCGCGTTGAGAGACCAACTGACCAGGTCCATTTTAATAATTTCCCGTTTCCAGAAAAAATGCAGAAGCGACGTACACCCAAAGACAGACAAAGAGCCTTGGGATAAGATATGGAGGGGAGGAGGAAAAAAAGCGTCTGAACTCTCCAAGAGCCGGAAGAAGAGGTAGCATTTCCTCTTTTATTCAGTTCCTGCAAAAGCTTCCAACTAAAATGATCATCCCAGGGGAAATCGAGCCAGATTTTTTCGTGGAATAGTTTTAGCGGCAGAAAGAACCATCCTTTCCAAGATCAGACAATTATTATTTGCTCAATCTACAATTTGTCTCTGTGTCAAATTATTATAAAGTGTTGGTTCCCTGGCACACCAAAGTACCTGGTTTCATCATCAATCGAATATTAAAGGTTCAATAATATTGATAATCCATATTTTTATGGAATTTTACATTTTATTGAATACCTTTATATTCTATTGAGAATTTATTAAAAGTAACCATTTACATAACTTTACAATGCTCAACACACACAGTATATACAATTATGCACGACAGCGAGGACGAGGATCCGGCCGGGGTGAAACTGACCGACCGAGCGGATCTAGCAGCGGGGGAGAGCTGTGCTGCAGATCAGTCCTGAGAAATAAATGTGTGTGAAAATGACAACACCAGTGTGGTGTGTAGTTCTGTGTGTGAACCACGGTAAGAATCTTGTTCCAATAATTGCAAAAATTGTGTTGTGTAATTGGGGCGAGCAGTTGCTAATGTATTTTGGGTTTCTGTTTACGTTGCTCATCAGAATAAACGGAGAACAATCTCCAAAGATGAGTGGTGTCACAGCGATCGTTCAGCAGTAACCCACAGAACATAGAAAAGATCCGGTTTCTCCTTCGGTTCAGCTGTGAGAAGTCCAGACGGCCGGTTCTGAGGACTGTCGTCTCACAGCTAGCTTACCATTTAAAATGCTTCTAGAAGCTTTGTGCTAAACATCGTTAGCTTGAGATGATTATTATTTTTGTTCATCTGCACAAAGATATGTTAGATGATCTAAAGTAGTGATATCTAAATCCCTAGGTTTTATTTTGTTAGCTTAAATCGTGGAAATACAGCTCTGAATGAAGGCTGGAGGCAGAGTTCCTGGCTTCCAGCTAGTGTGGATCTGCGCAGTTACCCGGATGTAAACAAAAACATGCAATGGGTCCCTCACAAACTGAAAACAGAGGCGCATGATCAATCAGTCAGCAGTCTCCCCACGACTAAAACCGTACTTAAGCTCAGCAAAAAAAATGTACTTACGCCAAGTAGGTTTGTGATCTATCAAACATGGAGTACGCACAGCTGCACGCAATCTCCGCTTCATAAATCAGAGACTATCTAGAAAGGTTCTCAGCTGCTTTTTAGTCACGTCACGCCCTCACCACACCCACTTTCTGCCATAAATATCAATGCAAAGTGCCTTGTGGATCTCATGCATATACATAAGCCGGCTGTTGCAGCGCTCCGCCAATGGCGATGGCAACCATAGATCAAGGCAGATCAAGGAAGCGCAATTTCACAGAAGCAGAAATCGAGGTGGAGAAAAGAAAGGAATTGCTTTTGCAAAACAAATATGAGAAAATCCACGGAGTGGCACAGCGTTGCTGAAGCCGTCAATGCTGACTTCTTCAGAGAGATCTGTGGCGGATATAAAAAATGGTCCAATCAGGATTTGATCCCCAGACTCCCAGATGAAAGTCACACACGCTGACCAGTCAGCCAAACAGAAATCTCCCCTGTCCAAGTAGCCAGGGCGCATGATCAATCGGGTCACAGTGACAGGACACACACACTGTCACAGACACATGACATTCTGTCTCAATCTGTCCCCCTGCTGATATTCTGCATTCCGTATTCTGCGCTTCAGGTTGTGTATGTGGTGTGTGTGTGTGTGTGTGTGTGGGGGGGGGGGGTCTTGTTCTGTGTGAAAACAAAGCAGTACAAGTGATAATGTTACAGGATTTCATAATTGTATCCTTCTCAGCAGCAGCACTGCAGGTGCTCACCATGTCCAACATGTGTGTAAGCCAGGTCCTTAGTCAACTTAAAGTTGCGAACATTTTTCCGCTAAGTTTTCTTTCATGAATCCCAAAGTTTGCGTGGAAAGTTGCTTACGCAGTTTTCCGACCCGGTTTTGTGCGTAAGCAAGCTTGATAAATGAGGCCCCTGGTCTATAGGGCCTTACATGGACAAGCACCATCTTACATTGGTGATCTTCTTAGTCCCTACACCCCCAGCAGGTCCCTGAGGTCCAGTGATCAAAGCCTACTGGTTGTGCAGCACCAGGCTAAAGACCAAAGGTGACAGATCATTTGCTGCTGTGGCCCCCAGACTCTGGACCTCTCTCCCCCTGAGCCTGAGATCAGTGGACTCAGTGGTCTCCTTTAAATAGCAGCTGAAGACTCACTTGTTCAAGCTTTGGCGTGACCTTCATCACCCTCTCCTGGTTCTGCTCGATCTACCTATTCCACCTTCCCCAGGATCCAGACTTCACTCTTATCTATTCACTCTCTCACTCTTTCTTTATGTAATTTAATCACAATTGTCAATTTTTGCTCCTTTTAAACACATTTTTAATCATTTTCTAAAATCTTTTTTATATTTTAAATGTTTTGTTTTTCTGAAGCGCCTCATGATTTTTATTTTTGAGAGGTCCTCGTGCAGGTGGTGTGTCTGTGGGAGGACAAGCCCGTGTACCAGATTCAGACCGACTCCAGTGGTCTTCTGGTAACCAGTGTTTGTGTCCATTAAGGGTCTTCTGAACCACTCAGGTCTCACCCTTCATCTAGAATAAATTGACCATAGTAGACTCTGCTAGGGCCTCGGACATCAATAGGGTCATCAAACTCCACCGTTGCAAGAGGAACCCATCAAAACATCCACAGCTCTGTTTGTTATGGATTCATATCATAAGGATATGCTTCATACCTAGCACGGTTCACAGCCCCCCCCCCACCACCACCACCACCACACACACAGACGTCTGTCTTTCTATCATAGTGAGGACACTCCATTGACTTGCATTCATTTTTGTGATTTCACCATGCCTAACCCATACCCCCAACCCTAACCATAACCAACGTTGATCTATTCCTAACCTTAACTAAAACTTAATTCACACCATACCTCTGACTGGTGTAGTAAGCTTCTGGTATGCTTCTAAAAAAACGAGGACCAAAAAAATATCCTCATTTTGAAAAATGTCCTCACTTTGTCGGGAAAATGGTCAAAAGGGTCCTCAGTATGTAGTATGTACAAGAACACACACACACACACACACTGACCTGCTGTAGCTTCCACTGCTTGTCGTCTCTGAACTGAAAATGCAGAACTTGGCTGCTCTTCGCAACCTTCAGGTTTATGTCCTGTCAGTAAAAGCGTCGTTAGAACGTTCCTCACAAAGTGAGACTGAAATAAGAAAACGGTAAGACTCACAGCTTGTGTCAGAGCCTCGCCCTGCAGGGTCAGCACCCCCTTCACCTGGTCCATCCTGCAGAAGCAGGCACACACAAACATCACCAACACGTTCTACACAAATGTCAAACATTTAAAAAAAACAAGTCTTTTATGTTCTAGAAAACGGAGAAATGTGTGTTCATACAAAAGCTCTTGTTTTCAGTGGGGAGAAACAACGTCTATAAACCTCCCAGCATGTTTTTGGCCAAAGTCCAAAAGATTAAAGTGCTTGAACAGAAGCCAACAGTGGACCTGATCAAACTCGGATGCTCTGACAGGTCTGTTTAAAGGCCGAGTCGCTTGAATAAAGTTCCACTGTGAAAACATTCTGAAATGAGCCACTAAAGGAGGTAAAAGACACAGAACTGGTTTCTGCGAGAGAATCGGATTCCAACATGAAAACCAATACAGAGAGCCGAGGTGGGCCCAGCTGACGTCTGCTGCTAACACACACTGCAAACAGTAAAGACTTGCTGTTAAATCAGTGAGGCATTACGTTGAGCTGCCGAGGATAAAGTTCTCCTGCTTGAGCTGACTCTCCAGGCCTGGAGTTGGCATGCAGAAGCGTCTGGAGGCCTCCTGCAGACGAGAGCAGAGTGATTCTGATCCATCACGCACGACCCATCCGTGTTTTCAGGTTTAACTTCTGTTGCAGCATAAGTTCAAACTGACCACAACTTCTCTTTTACTACTAGTTCTGTTGTGGCTTTTAAATTTCTGTGGACCTTCTGGGCTACCGTACGAAAAACACAAACAAACAAACAAACACATGAGAAGAATCTATGGAAAGTTTCTTAGGTCCAGCTGAGCTGAGCATCTACCTTCAGCACATCCTGCAGCTGCTTCAGAACAGAGTGCACTTCTTCTTTCAGCAGCCAGTTGAACTCCTCCTCCTATCAAACAGGAAATACGATTGATCCTCTAGCACAATGACCACACACACACGCACACGCACACACACACACACACACACACACACACACACACACACACACACACACACACACACACGATTTAGGATGAGTTTAGCACAATCGCTGCACTCCAGTGCACACCGGGAGTCTCAGCCACGAAGCCACTTCTCCACTGTGCGCCTCACAAGATCCCTAAATCCCTCGTTTCTGCCGTCCGCCATTAAACCAAAATGAAAGAAATGACGTTTGATGTCATATGTGGCGTTGATCATCTCTACTGCCAGGACTGAAGCTATGAAAAACACATGCTGCACTTCTGCAATGATACAGGAAGTAAATGAGCCGTTGGATCACTTGTATTGGTGTAATCTACATACATATGAAATTGCATCGCTGCTCTAGACTTTTATTTTGAAAATTACCGTAATTTTTACAATGAAACTGTGCGTGATTTCCTGTCTAGCCCTATGTAAATTCCGGAACTTGTCGTGTCCCAGAAGTGGCGTACGTCACACGTCACGTGATCAGGAAGCAGAACATCCATGTGTTAGGAGATCGTTTAGGGCCGCTGCTGTAAAAAAAGTGAGGCGCGATCCGGAAAAGCTTCTGTCGATCACAATTCAACAACGGATTATGAAAGAACAGATAACGCTCGAAACACGCAGATTCTTCCCGATGTAAGAGGTGAGTCTCCTCTTTGTTTTGGTAGTTTTGGCATCAACATCATTCTAGCGCACAACATTCTGTGACTCTTAAAAATACAGTAAAAATGCTGAAAAACGCTGGCGGTGAAGGGCTTTTCTGATCAGAAAACGGCTAGCAGCGAATGAGTTAAAATACTCAAGCAGAAATGTCATCTGTCCAAATTAAACAACTGAATTTCAACGTTAAATTTCAGCTGAAAAAACTCAACATTAAATGGTAAATGGCCTGTATTTGTATAGGGAGCGTAAGTCACACCCATCTACTTCTGGACCACGGGTCCCCGGGTGAACGCAAGTCAACGGGGCTAAAAACGCTATTTTCTGATCCGCCTTTTGTGTTCCATGGATTTCACACATGATGTCCGTAAATTTTAAAGACCCATTTTGATACCAAGAACGCACTTATTTTCGAACGAGGATAAACTCTATTTTAGGTTTTGTACAAATGCGCTTCTCTAAAGTAACGTCGTTGAACCCGACATGGGGAAAAGCAGATTGTAGTTCAGCAAACTTCGAATTCTGCTTCCAGAACGTCTTCAAGAAACCAAAGAAGTTCAGTCGCCTTCATTCGAACCCCTTTGGATTACCATGACCTGGATGACCGAGAACCTTCTATCCGTCCATTTTCTTTACCTGCTCATCCACGCAGGGTCGCTGGTGCCCATCTCCAGCGGTCTCCGGGAAAACAGGCGGGGTACACCCATCACAGGGCAACACAGAGACAAACATGACTACGCACACTCACACCTAAGGACAATTTAGAGAAACCAATCAACCTGACAGTCGTGTTTTTGGACTGTGGGAGGAAGCCGGAGAACCCGGAGAGAACCCACGCATGCACAGGGAGAACATGCAAACTCCATGCAGAAAGATCCCAGGACCTTCTTGCTGCAAGACAACGGCGCTAACCACTGCGAATGACTGAAGACCTTCATCGGCAAAGTCTGGAATTGATTTTTTACGGATGGAGTATTTTAAGTAAAACATTCAAATACATAATTTCACAGAATAAAAATTCAATGTCTAAAAAAATCATATTCTGTGAGACTGTATTTCTTCCATAACATTGTTTTACCTCAAATAATTCTAAATAACAGAAAACAGTTTCTTATTCATTAGTCCATCATAATCCTTTAAAATGTCTTTAGCTAAAGGGCCATTCCCTTTATTCGCTTCCACCTGTGATCATTTGTTCTAAAGGTGCACACCTGTACAGGACACACCTGAACTGATTTACTCTACAACTAAAATAAAATCTTTAAAATGCAGTTTGACATTTGCCAGACCTTTATTTTGTGAATGAAATGGAATTTTGTCACTAAATTAAAGAGGTAAGATACCTGGCCCCTCTGCAGGTAACGCTGCACCTGAGCTGCCCCCTCCCCCAGAGGAAGGCGGGCATCTGATAGGTGCGTTTCTGTGATGTTCTAGAGCATCGGGTTGAGCCTGAACAGTAGCTGTCTGGCGTTTAAAAGGTCCGAGAGTCTGTCGTGAGCGGATGATCTCTACACGCGGAGTCTCCGGTTATTGCTATGTTCGGATGTTGCGTTAACTGGGCCCACAGGACAGGAGTGTCAACAGGGCACCGACCGACACGATGCTTCCCTACCCGCAGCAGCAGCAGCCCTGAGGGCTCGCTGTTCTCACACCACATCCAGCAGCATGTTGAAGCCGTGGACAATAATATTAGAAGGCTCATCAGCGGGCAGCTAGCGGTCCACTGTCCTGTTTTCTGGTGGTTCGGTTCGATTCAGCACCGAGGCGCTTACCAACACAGCTCTCTCCACCTGGCTGGCCGCCGACATCTTGGGCAGCTCGGACAGAGACCTCTGTGGGTTCAACATGTTTATTCGGTCCGCAGCAGCAGCAGCAGCTCACCCGGGTAGAGGCAAAAATAACAGCTCCGGCGGACGGTCGCGCGATGAGGACTAGCCTAGCGGAGACAGTGTGGCCTTCAAGACTACCGTAAATTATAGCTCTCCATTAAAACGGGCGTGATAAGTGAACACCAGTGTGGTTCATGTCAATGGAACACCCCATAAACACGAATGACACGTCACGTTAAAAAGCTTGACATAACGGAGGCAATAGTTCATATGACACTCTTCAAAAAATATGTTAAATATTGTAGCATTGATGGGATTTGGTAAATTATGCTAATTGTTCCATTAATGCAGCAAGTTTTTAGATTAGATTTTCATTTATGTAAAATGTGCTCATTCTAACTGATCAAGATTCATGTCTCACTGAATCGTAAAAAAATAACGAGTGGATCTTATATTTACAAGAATCTATTGAACGCACCATTACGATGGTCACACGCTAGCTATTAAAATAAGCCCGCCTACTTAACCTTATATGGGAACACCACTTCCGCTCACTGTCCCATAAACAAAAATCTTCAGTGCTCGGTCTAATACGCCTCTGGAGCATAGACTGTACATGGCTCTGGAGCCAAACTCCATGTTTTATGTCTGATTTTGTCTTTAAGATTCAGACTCGGAAGAGAACCAGGTTCGAGTCAGATGCTCAACTGTTTACAGTTTAGTCTGGACTCAAAACAAATGAAGACTTTCTGATTTTAACTTCCTTTTAAAATCAGTTGATGTTTATACCTTGCTGGTTTTTGTGATGTTTATCTGTGTACGGTGACGTAAGCAAACGTCACAGCTAATAGCTCTAGAGTCACTAGTTCATCTGGTGCAGGTCAATTATTAGAGCATCACAACAAAGTTGATTTATTTCAGTAATTCCATTCAAAAAGTAAAACGTGAATATTAGATTCATTCACAGACTGATGTATTTCCAATGTTTATTTCTTTTTTTTTTATGATTATAACTGAAAATTAACAAAAATCCCCAATTCAGTATCTCAGAAAATTTGAATATTGTGAAAAGATTTAATAGTGAAGACCTCTGGTGCCACACTAATCAGCTAATTGACTCAAAACACCCACCAACGCCTTTACATTGCCTCTCAGTCTAGTTCTCTAGGCTACACAATCACAGGGGAGTTCTCTAAAAGACGACCACTGACACCTTGCACAAGGAGGGCAAGACACAACAGGTCATTGTTAAAGAGGCTGGCTGTTCACAGAGCTCTGTGTCCAAGCACATTAATAGAGAGGTGAAGGAGGGACAAGATGGTAGAAAACGTGTACAAGCAGTAGGGATACCTGCATCCTGGAGAGGATAGTGAAACAAAACCTATTCAAAATGTGGGGGAGATTCAAAAAGAGTGGACTGCAGCTGGAGTCAGTGCTTCAAGAACCACCACACACAGACGCCTGCAAGACACGGTGGGTTTCAGCCGTCACATTCCTTGTGTCAAGCCACTCGAACAAGAGACCAAGCCCTTTTAGTAGAAAACTGGAATAAATACATCAACATTTAGAAAAACAAACAATTTAAATACATTTTCATAAATGTGTAGATAAATGTCACCTGGCGTGGTCAAACTTCATTATAGAACTGAAGAAGCAATCTTGCAAATGCTTGAAATGGGCTGTGCCTGTAACACCAGAGTCACCACGGGTCCTGAAGGGCTAAAGACAAAAAGGACTGGACTGCTGCTGAGTGGTCCAAAGTCATCTTCTGTGATGAAAGTAAATTTTGCATTTCCTTTGGAAATCAAGGTCTCAGATTTGGAGGAAGAGCAGAGAGACACAGAATCAACATAGCTTGAGGTCCAGTGTAAAGTTTCCAGTCAGTGATGGTTTGGGGCGTCAGGTCATCTGCTAGTGATGGTCCGTTGTGTTAGCCGTGGTCCAAGGTCAAGGTTGCCATCTACCAGGAAGTTTTAGAGCACTTCATGCTTCCTGCTGCTGACCAACTTTGAGATGCAAATTTCATTTTCCAGCAGGACTTGGCTCCTGCACACAGCTCCAAAGCTACAAACCTGGTTTATGGACCACACTATCCCTGTTCTTGATTGGCCAGCAAACAGACTTTAACCCCATAGGATGATCTAAATAATGAGTGCTGTACATGCTCATACTTTCCAGTTGGCCAACATTTCTAAAAATCTTTTTTCATTGGTCTCAAGTCCGATTCTAATTTTCTGAGATTTTCATTGTCAGTTATAATCAACATTAAATAAACATTCGGTGTTTTGAATTAATCGAGTTTAAAAGTTTCACTTTTTGTCATATTCTAATTTCATGACCAGCACCTGTATGTTCCAAGCCACACTTCTGCTCACCGACGAGATCCTGGATCCAAGAGGCTGGCTCAGACTCAAGAGAACATGAGGAGTAAAGCTGCTCCTCTTCAGCCCTGGTGGGCCAGGAACCTGATTGGGATGCCTCTGGCGCCTTTCTAGGCACGTCCCAACAGGAGTAGAACCAGGGAGATGACAGCGCTGCTGGAAAGCAGCAGTCCTGGATGCCCCTTCTGGGCCTGGCCCCTTCACAACCCCATCACGGCTAGGAGTAAATGTAGAACAGACGAATGAGGACCGGCTTAGTTTCCTACATGAGGTTGGTCCCAGTTGCTGCTAGTCAGTGGAGCGCACGTTTACCTACATATCTGGGACTGTGCTTGCCTACTTTAAAACCAGACGTTGTGGTGTCTTCTGAACATAAACCGTTTGTGTTAAAAGGGTGTCCTTGTGTGATGATTATAGCATTCTAAATAAATGTAAATATCAGAAAAACAAGGAAACGGATTCAGTAATCAGCAGAGGATTTATTAAACAGCACAAAAATTGGTATTTCTACATGTACACAAAATCATAAATACCCCCAAAAGAAAGGCTCTGTACTCCATGTCCACGCCAGAGTCTGTGAGCCGCGTGTTAATAAACCAGCATCACCTGGGCTGAATAATCTACACTATTAAGAAATAAACATTAGCCAGACAATCTGTAAAGTCAAAAGTAGCTTTCATCAACTCTGCTCATCGAAGATACAAAAGGACCCCTACGTAGTTTCATGTGCTATTTACATCTGCCCTCTGAAACTGCTCTGGACCCCACTGCATGGCTTTAGGGAAACTTAAGCCTCAGCAAACAGGAAGTCAATCTGGTGCACTGGACTCCACAAACAAAACTTAACTGTTGACTGTAAGACATAAAAACCCATAAACGGTAGAAGAGCTGACCTCCTAACGGGCAGCAGAGGCCAGAAAGGATCTGATTTCATGTCCTACCACGCCTCCTAATCAACATGGCTCCTAGCTGAAGAACGCTCAGAACAAGGCCCAATCAAGTCCCTCCCCTCAGCCCTCACAGGAACCGAGTGATCCAAAGGAGCAGTCGCTTCCCAACCATGCAAAAGACCTCAGCTGAAGGTTTCCTAACAACAACCTTCAAAAGGGGAGTGGCGGGGACTCGGGGAGGGGCTGGGATGAGCTTTTATTACTGGCCGCTCCTTTACAAGAGGCACTTTTCTGAATTTAAGTAGAAATATAAAAGAAGGATTTGCATCCAGGTGAGAATGCTCTGGACATGCATCCTAATGAGACAGAGTTCATCTCTGGTCTTTACCAAAAACAGGTGTTTTAGGTTATTGTAGGTGGGGGTGCATCACCGAGGTTTTGAAGCACGAAACGGGACGTGGCCTAAAGCTCCTAACCTAACGCGTCATCATTGTTCAACATGGAGATTTTTGGGGGCACAAAAGTTCGAACACCTGAAGGCTGCTTTCTTTAGTCAACTCGTTTCTGAACACAGACATAAAAATGTCTCCCATATCTTTGGTACTTTTGTCAAATTTCCTTTTTAAACATCAAATTAAAATTATCGTTTACAATGTCTTAAATGGTTCATTTTAATATCCGTCCCATTTCAGAGCTAGAAGCTCGGTCCGACCTGCTGCTGGACGTGGGTCTAGATCCTGACCGGCTGTTTGAGAAATGTAACAATAACCCGACTGAGGTTAGCTTAGTAACAGCTAGTCAGCTCACAGCTGAGGAGAAAGATCTGAGCATCAATCCAGGAATGATGAACACCATCTGGAGGAACCCTAACCCTCCATGGAGGAAAAAAAAACATACATAAATGACATCAGGGCTTAATTATTCATTTTAAAAATACAACTGGAAAGGGACTCGTCTGGTTTTGGATTCCTTCAGTAACAGCTGAAGAGGTGAGAACTGTTCCAAACCAAAAGTCACAGATCTCTTGAACGGGACAACAAACATCTGTTTTACTGCATTTAAGGCCTCAACACATCTGCTGCTCTGAGATCGACGTCACCACCAAAGTAAGAGAACAAATCATGTGATCAAACGTGGGGACACGCCATGACCATGCTGCACCAAAACCACCTACAGGAACATAAATAAATACATCAAGAACCAAGGGACTGGAGGGGTCACAATATTAAGGCAATGCAGTGGCATGTTCTTGGTGGTCTTCTCTCGGATTAATTTCTGAATATTAAAAGAAAAACAGATTAAGCTTAATTAAATACACACAAAACAACAAAAATGTCTTCTGTATTCACAAAACTGGACAGCAGTTTCTGTGGCCTCAGTGGGACTGGACCCCCTCAACCCGCTCGGAACCAGAACTGCTGCCACCCACACGGCAAGCTGCAGCGGTGCACAAGCACAACGCCTATCCCACAGTGCAGTCAGTGCAATGCTCATGGAGAGAAACTAAAAGAATTACAACACTAGGACTTGTGGGGGCAGGTAATGTGGCAGACACTGGGGCAAAATCAAATAAAACCACTAGAAATGCCAATAAAACTCATTAATGTCAAAAGAAAGAAGTGATTAAAGACTGTGGTCCAGAGGATAGGTCACACCTCCCTCTAGTGAATGTAGGCTCTGTAGACTGCAGAGATGTCGTTGTCTGACTGGTCCAGTGCTTTAGCCCTCTTATACACCTGCACAGGATAACAGCAACACAGTTAGCCACAAGTCAAACCGTCACAGAAACCAGAGAGAAGCCAGATGTGTCTGTAAGAGATGCTTATAAAGATGTAGTCCCTGCTGAGCGAGGCTGACCCCTCCTGTCCACGGACGTGTGAGCGGTGCGTGAGCTAACAGAGGCTCTCCCTTCCTACCGAGAGCGTTTCAGACACAAAACAGGAGCTAAAGCTGGTCGCAAAGTCACGGGAGAACAGCAACACCACGCGTGATTTCAGAAGTTCACACAACAAGCAAGATGGCTGCATGCATGCAAAAAGGTCTGCTTTGTCTTCTGTTCCGTTTACCTCGGCTACAGGAAATTATTCTTACTATTTAAGCAACTGGAAATCTGCACGACTTTTATTTTGAAAGGTTGCAGATGTTGTACACAGCTTTCCTGTTTGACTTCCTGTCTGGTCCAATCTGAACTACAGTTTGTAGTGCTCTGGATGAGTAGCGTGTAAAACAAAACCAGACCAGAAACATAACCAGCTGGTGGAAAGGAACCAGTCAGCGGCGGCGAACGCTCATCAAGTACGTTCTGCGGCAGTTTTGTGACACCTTCGTGTCTACTGGAAAGGAGGGCTGAGGCCAGTGACTGTAGGTCCACCAACTGTTAGACCCATCGGTGTTTTATGACACCAGTCATGCACATTTAACAGCAGCTTTCATTTTTTTTAGATAAATACAGAAAGAGTAAATTCAGTTGTACCTCATTGGCAGCAGCAGCCATTGGTGTTGGATGGTTGGCCATGTCGCCCATGGAGATCGCCAGCCGAAGGTCCTTCTGAATATGTTTCAAATAGTAGTCTGGTTTAAAGTTGCCCTGCAAAATGTCTGATAGAAAGACCAAAGAGGTCAACGGGGTCAGATGTTTGCTTCCAACGTTCTGCCAGAACCACATCCTCAACAACAACCAACGTAATCTCATCTCCTCACTTACTTTGACATTTCTGGTCCACAAAGGTGCTCGCCATCTGGCCCTGGCACAGGATGTCCAGGAAGGTCTGCTGTGATTGGCCGGTGGCCTGTGCCAGAGTGAGCCCCTCTGCGATGGTGGCCATGAAACTGCCCTGGACCATGTTCAGGATCAGCATCATTTTGGCCGCGTTGCCAGCTTCCCCTTGAGCCGAGAAGGAGAGGTAAGAAACCGCTCTTACATCAGAGGGCACAGTTCATCCTTACTACCCTAATGACCATCGGTGAACAATATATAAAACATGCAGAGTTTACTGGAGGTTTTAGCTACAGCTGCAAACATACCAGCACTGTAAGATCAGGGAAAGTAGAGCTGCACGACGAAACAATACATTTCTCAAAATGATATTTAACTCATTCACCGCCAATTGACGACATTAGTCGTCAATTGCATGTTTTAACTGTGTGGGCGTCGGACGAGCCCCCGCACCGTGAGAACAAACATCTCAGCTCTAAAGCCGATCATCCGCGTACGTCACACGTCACGTGATCAGGACGCAGGAAATCCACGTGTTAGATCGTTTTGGGCCGTTCCTGTAAAAAAAGTGAGGCACGAACCGGAAAATCTTCTGCCGATCACAATTCCACAACGGATTATGAAAGAACGGATAATGCTCGATAGGCGCGGATTCTTCCTGATGTAAGAGGTGAGTCTCCGCTTTGTTTTGGTTGTTTGGTAGTTTTGGCGTCGACATCATCCTAGCACGCAACGTTCTGTCACGCTGGCAGTGAAGGGCTTTACCGATCAGGAAACGGCTGGCAGTAAACGAGTTAAAACACATGACGACAGATTTTGTACATTTGTTCTGAGTAATACGTCAAATTCCATTGCTTGGTTCTTTATTAAACAGTTCAGTAAAGTTTCATTTTTGTCTTTTAAGACGACAAGTTAAGGCCAACACTGTAGCCTTCCTCAGAGCACCACCGATGTGGCAGAGCAAAGACTAGAGCGGGTGTTGGGGCCTCGGGCAAGACGCTTCACCCACCCTGCCTACTGCTGGTAGTCAGAGGGACCGGTGGCGCCAGAGCGCCCCAGGGCAGCTGTGGCTACCATGTAGCTCATCACCATCACCACATTAATGTGTATTTGTGGGTGAATGACTGGTTGTGTTGTAAAGTGCCTTGGGGGGGGGCTGTGGAACCCTAGAAAGGGCAATATAAATACCGGCTATTGACCACTGTACCAGACAACCATCTTCCATAAAAAGGCCCAGCACAGACCTCTGTCCTCTGCATCCGCGGTGGGGTGTGCCATCTTTGGTACCTCACAGTTGTATTATGATTCAGAGTCCTAAAATTCAAACATCATGATTACCACGCCTACAAACCGACTAGCCATGCTCCATAGGAGCCTCAGCAGGTGTTGGCTGGTTAGGAGGAACAGCCGGCTTCTGTTCTTCTTCTTCCGGCTCTTGGAGGGTGCAGATGCTTTTCTTCTCCTCTCCTCCATATCTTATCCACAAGGCCTTTGTCTGTCTGTGTTGTTGGGTGCACGGCTGCTTCTGCATTTTTTCTGGAAACTGAAATTCACTAAAATGGATCTCGTCAGTTGGTCACTCAACGCGGTTGATACATTTTTTCAACGATGAGAACGGGAGAGGGGGCTCCTGGATGCCCCTCCGGGACAGACCAGCTGTCTGTGGAGGACTCTGAAGATGTGTGGATATTCGTGGTGTCGGGTTTCCTGCTGATCGGCCTTGGAGGCTTCCTGGCTTACCGGAAAATTAACGAGCTGTCGAGGAATATTGGCCTGATCCCGGAGCTCAGAGAATTCACAGACTCACATAATTGCTGAGATGAACTGTAAGCTTGGAACTTTGGCCAAGATTCATTCATTGGCACAAACGATGGATGCCATCAAGGATAGAGTGGACGAATCAGCACGGATTGAGATAGATTAATGTCCATTATTGGGATTCTGAGAGGTTGAGGACCAACAAACCGTAAGACAGAGAGGAAATTATCTGTCTGGCCCCAAAACAACTTCTAATCGGAATCTGGCGTCCTTGAGCCAGCAAGGCTCCAACGAAACCCCCCCCCCCCCTCAGAAGATATGTGGAATGTGCCGTCGCTATGGCAACTCAACTCTGTCTCCGGGACTGCGGGAAGGCCGCTGAAACGTTCCAGGGTCACTGCAACCCTCCAACCCTCAATGCTCCTCCCCCTATCCACACTGAGGTGACATGCGCTGCTTATCGTGGCTGCAGGAACTGAAATTGGGATAGTCCCAACCCACCACCCCACCTAGTGGACACTTGTGATGTCTGAAGTCTGTTGCATATCTGTCTGAGGTGTTTTTTTGCAGAGCAAAGCTGCCCTCCCGGTGGGAGGGTAACTCTGAAGTGCCTTTTTTTTTCCTCCACCTGAACCAATCCTCATGTAACCCTCTGATCTCTATTAAGGTAGCACGACTCAGGGTTGCGAATGACCACAGTCACCAATTCTTGTCATGTGTCTTGCCCATGTATATCTGATCTCTGAATGGTGTGTACTGAAATTAATTTCCCTCTGGGATTAATAAAGTATCTCTGATTTGATTTGAAACTGTACGATGGTGCCATTTTACTTTTACCCAACTTTCCTTCAGTCCTGACCAGTTAATGTCACGCACGCTCGGTGAGTGAAGCTTTTGTTTTCCGCTGATCCGACGCCTAAAACCGTGTGGTCCTGCCACGCTTTGCAGCCGTTTGCTGGGTTTTATTTAGAACCGTTATTGAACCAGCATCACGATGGAACACCATGAATCAGCAGGGCCGGGGTATATGCAGAAATCTCAAAATGAAACTTAAGACCTTGTAAAAATAAAATTAAGACTATCGCAAACAATCAACTGATTTTATAAATAGACAGGCCCACTATAAATAATGAAGGTTTAAGCAGCTTTTTAACGTTTTCACTGAATATTTGTGCTGACTTTCCACAATAGAATGATGGTAAAAGCAGTGTTGCCAACTCCCCCCGATAGGAAGTAGCTGAAGTTGACCCAGGAAGTCACCCAGATGTCGCCAGACCACGTCAGATGCTAATCTGCATATTGATGACGCCATCACGCCACATTGGTGTTCATTTTCCCCATAGCATCTAAAAGATTATATATATATGATTTTTAAAACATGTTGGGTCTTTTTAGGACTAAAAGGGAGGAAAATAAAAACCTATGTTATGTGTTAAAGTTATTAATTAGTATGATTAAAATGGCCTTAATTGCTTTGACATGTACAATAAATTCCAAAAGTATCAATAAAGTGACATGAAGACAGATATGGTGTGGTGATCCAAACAGTTCTGTTGTAGGATATAACTCAGACCTGCCGCTCTCCTCATTCTCACATACATTTTCCTAAAGAGCTGTTTTTTTTTACACCTCATAGTTTCTCAGCTTCTCTGTTGTGTATTCTCTCCATCGTGATAATAACGGCGCACCGAGCAAAAGGGAGCGGGTGTCTCATAGTATAACCATCCCTGTGTCACTGAAGGAAATTCAGATGAGCCACAGAGCTGCGTGTGTAAACGGGACGGTAGTTGAAACTCCCGTTGACTTTATTTGCCAAATGCAGGAAAAACCAAAGTGTCTGACGGCTGCAGAACCAGAGATGGCAGGTTGACGCCCGCGCCGTCTCTAGTAGAAGCGTGAGCCTGCAGCAGCAGCAGACGTACGTCGGCGGTCTGCAGCTCTGCAGCTGTACCTTTGTCTTCGTCCAGCCGAAAACGGTTTATGATTGGTCAGTCCTCGTGCACATGTGCAGATTATCGTTCTCTTTCCTTACTCTCGGAAGAACGGTTCAGAGTGCAAACGGTTTCTTTGTTGCTAATCTGTAGGGATTATCTACAAGAAAGTAGATAAAGAAAGTAGCAACGGGTCCTGAGAAATGTCGCTAGTTTGTTGCTCGGCGCTTTTGGGAAAATAAGTTGTTTGGAACAGCGACAAAGTCGCTGAGTTGGCAACACTGAGTAAGAGTACCAGAAACATCTTTAGATCTACTCATATTTATTTCCACTAATAACATCCCACTGAAAACAGATCCATGCTATTTTGCAACTTTTTCTTCTTAGCTCATTCACTGCCAGCCGTTTCCTGATCGCTAACGGCCTTCGCTGCCAGCGTTTCTCACCGTTTTTACAGTTTTTTTTAAGAGTCACAGAACGTTGCACGCTAGCATGATGTCGACGCCAAAACAACCAAAACAAAGAGGAGACTCACCTCTTACATCAGGAAGAAGCTGCGTGTTTCGGGCGTTATCCGTTCTTTCATAATCTGTTGTAGAATTGTGATCGGCAGACGCTTTTCCGGTTCGCGCCTCACTTTTTTTTTACAGGAACGGCCCAAAACGATCTCCTAACACATGGATGGTCTGCTTCCTGATCACGTGACGTGTGACGTATGTGGATGAAGATCAGCTTCAGGGCTGAGATGTTTGTTCTCTCTGCGCGGGGGCTCGTTCCAATGCTCAAACAGTGAAAAAATGCAAATGACGACTCTAGTCGTCAGTGGTAGTGAATGAGTTAATTTCGTACATCTTCTACATGTAGGGAAGACGTGGCTGAAAGGGTTTAGCTTGTATGCATCTGGAACAACAACCGCAGCAGCTTGTTTGGGGTTAGGATGGACCTGTCTAATTACTGGGAAACTTGTTTTTGACCCAACACTTGAAATCAACTCCCCCCAAAAAGAACACAAGCCTCAGGAAACATCAGTTAAGGCCGAAACCGAAAGGCCCAAACATCATCCATGACCCCTCCCACCCCAGCCCTGCCCTCCGGTAGGCGCTAGAGTCGTTTCTTTTAGACCAAACACACCATTTGAGTACCTTCCAGTTTCATTCTCATCGAGATAATAAAAGCTTTCTGGTTCGGATGATGGTTCTAGCACTTTTTAAAAGTCCAACGGAGATGTTTTCCTGCGTTAGGGTTAGGCAGAAATAGTCCGCTGGGTTCAACTCTGCATTTATTTAGTTTGACAGGAAAACAACACCACGGTAAGTCGGTACTACTGCGGCTTCAGGGTTTCAGACGGCCTGACATCGGTGACACAAACGGCGGTTTGTGCCCCGTCTACTTGTGTTAACTGAGGTGGAGTTCTCATAAGCACCAACCCCTCCGTCTTGTTCATATCAGCCACAGCTTCTCAGGAAGGGGGGGTCGACAGCACAGCCAGCGCTTTACTCTGACTGGCTTTAGAGCAGCCATGAAGTGGACTAGAAAGCAGAGCGTTTGTCCTGACACGGTGACATCACTACGCAACGCGCCCCTCGTTAACTCCCATCTGACAGAAGAACATCCTACAAAGCCGATTTGGTCCGACCGTGCTCCTCTCTGGTACCCTTCGGGGAGAGGGGTGCCGTAGTGAGGTGTGTGTGCGGCAGGCGTACCGAGGAAGAACGAGGTCTTGCCCATGGCCTGGAAGCAGCTGCTGCAGTCCTCGTAAACGCTCCTGTCTCCGGCTGCCAGAATCACCAGCATCCCATCATTGGAGACCTGCTGGCTTCCTGAAACCGGAGCCTCCAGGAAACGGCCCCCCCGTGATGTGATCACCTGAGGAACACATTTATACACCTTTACATCCCACTGCTGGAAGCTGGAGTAGTTATTCTCTGATGGTGTGGCTGCAGGCTGCTGCGTACCTGGGACAGCTCTGTGATGGTCTCTGGATCCACGGTGGACATTTCCACATAGCATTTGCCCGGTCTGATCCCCTGGAGGACTCCACTGGGTCCCATCACCAACTACAGAGCCACAAAAACAAAGAGCTTCAGCCAAAACCAAAGCTGACACATCAGACGGTGAAGGCTCCGATCCTAGAGGCTTCGGATAAAAGGAACTGGACTTCTTTATTTCTTAGATAAAAAACAAAATGTCTTCCAAAAGGCTTCAGTTCAATGAGATGCTTCATAATGTTCATATCTGGACAAGTGGGAAGGTAAAGAAGCCCTCTCTGTGGAGGCCCCAGCTCAGAATCTGATCTACACCTGAACACCTGACCTAAACCGGGACAGCAGCAACCCCCGGGACCACTGGGCTTGCTCCTCTGCACCCAGAAACCCCTCAGATGAGGCATGAACAGGTTCAGTTGTGGTTTCCCAAAGCTGTAAGACACTTCCACATCGTTACCGGGGTACTCACATCTCTGGCAGCCTTTGGGTCCGACACACAGGAGAAAGTGATGTCACACATGGAGGCCACCTCTGCTGGGGTCCGGCCCAATCTGGCCCCCTCCTGGATGAACAGGTCACACTGCAAGAGCACGGAGGAGAGAAAGTTTACTGCAGACAGACTACAGCTGTCCCTCTGGGGGACAGTAGGGGACACGTCCTGCATCTCTGGACAGTAGCAGTGGTGTTCCAGGATAGATGAAGCTCCGCTTCCACAAAGTACACCGAGGTCAGCTTCAAAATACTAACCGATACACATTTAGGATGTTTTAATAGAACTGCAGACTTCTGTCTAAACACTCTTCAGGACCACTAACCACCATCCTCTACTCAGCATGTTTTAGCAGTTTCCCTGCCCCAACACCCCTGACTTCAGTCAGCAGGTGGTTTACGGGCTGCTGCAGCAGTCAGACATACTGGACTGGGCGTCTAGAGGACCAGAGCCTGTTACTGAGGTATTTATATAGATAACAAAGATAAATGTATTAAAAATGAAATGATAGAGACTATCGACCCGTGTAAAGTAAAGCAGAACGCATTCATAAAGGCCGTTGAAAGGTAGGGATGCACCGAAATGAAAATTCTTGGCCGAAACCGAATGAGGAAACCAGGCTGAAATTTGAAAAACGATGACGTCACTAATCGGAGGCGTAGCATTCACGGCTACGACGTGAACCAACCTCACTAAAACCAAGGCAGCGCAATAAATCAATTACAAAACCATGAAAACTTGGGTGGAGCACGGACTTTATGCACTATATAAATGAAAATGTTTCACTTGAACACACTTGCGTACATTAAATAATGAATTATAAATAAATGATGAATGTACACATTTACCGAAAGGCCTGCTGAGGACTGTACAATTAACCCTTTAAGTGCCAAAGATGCAATTAGGGTGGGAACTGAAAAGTTTATGAATATCAGTGGCATTGTCGATACTGTCCATCGATTCAATTCCCCATCAGTTCCAGAGTAGATAAAGTGGAAGCCAAAAACTAACTGCACACGGCCTCCTGCAATATAGTACTACATATACAGTACTACAGTGTCAGTTTCTTTATTATAAATAATCAGTTGTACCTGAATCGGTTGGAAAGATCATTCCAAACGTTCTCCTTTATGCTCCCTGTAAACTAGGGCTAGGCAACAATAAAAAAATGTATCTCTTATCGAGATCATTTTCCCAAGTCAAAAAATTTGATTAAAGAAAAAGATGTGTAGGTTGGCAACGTTCACGTCCCTTTAAAGAGCAAGTCACCCCTATCAGACTATACTCCACTCCCACTTCCTGTTTGAAAAATGCAACAAATGCTGTTGCCTAGCAGACCGAGAGGGCGGAGCCGCTAACAAATACACACACACCAACGTGACATCATATGGTACCAGCCTACGTTCTAGGGTACCTCTTAGCCAATAGCGATGGCAGATTTAAATTCATATGCAGTGCAGAGTTTTTACCCGACAACGGCACAACCCTGACGGTTTTAGGCAGAAAATTCTAATTTTAACTAAGATGCACTAAAGTGCAAAACTATTGACTACTCGTGTCTGCAGCACAATTAGACACGCATTTATATAGTTTATCAGAAAAAAAGTAGATTTGGGGGTGACTTGCTCTTTAAGCAGCTGTACCATCTTGAGTCACGTAAAAATGTGACTCGACTCAACAGCCCCATCTAGGGGACAACTTTTGTTTCTGCACACCTGTAGTAATCGTGTTTATCGTCGTTATCCATATTGCCCAGCCCTACGGTGAAGGCAGAGTCGTCTTCTTGTGCGGTGCAGTGTTGCTGTAGCTTTTGCAGAGTGGGAAAAATCTCACCACAGGTCAGACTTCAGTCGCTGGAGTCTGCTAGTGAGGAGGTGTGTATATAAGGCTTATGACGCTAACATGACAGGAGTGTTCGTTGACTAGGTACCTGCAGTATTAACAGGAGAGGATGTGCGAACGTCACTGCTGCTGCGTTGAAATTCACTCGTCTGGAGCGGGTCACAATGCGTCATTAACTTTAAGTTATCGCCCAAAGGCTTTTGTAAATCCGTACTCCTTCCTCTGCTTTGCAATTACTGCAAGTTATCCTGTTGTCATGATTTTTGTAAAATATAACTAAACTAGGGCTGCACGATATTAGGAAAACCTGCGATATTCAGTAACAGTGCTTAATATTGCGATATCGATATTACTCACGATAAATGAACAAATACTAAAGTATGCAGTGTTGATGTCGTCTGGCGTGTGACGTCTGCTCTGGGTTCAAAGCAAACAAGAACTAATGCATGAATTCCATTACAACAGAACATTTTTATTGCACAAATATGCAGCTGCACCTGCTACTGTATTAGCAGCTGCACCTGCTACTGTATTAGCAGCTGCACCTGCTACTGTATTAGCAGCTGCACCTGCTACTGTATTAGCAGCTGCACCTGCTACTGTATAAGCAGCAAAACAACAAACTGCATGCATGCAGTTTCTCAGTGACTTTAAAACATCACCTCCACCATAAAACTTTTTCTGAAGCTCCAAATACAGAAAAACATCCCTTAACAGGGTTTTTGAATAAATAAAAAAATCAGAAAATAAGTTTAAATGTTAAATAATAGTTAACATCACTTACATGCAACAGCAAAGTCTCTCATTGCTACTGAACATTTTCTCCACTTATGTGGTTATGATATAAGGCTGTTGCTGTAATTGGGAAGTGAACTGTGCTGGGCCAAACTAGGAGAAAATTAAGATTTTCTGAGGGAAAGAGAAAAACAATTGTCTACCTTTCAGAAGAGGAACTGGCAAAAAAAAAACTACATGGAAAATATGTGAAAACGTTTGTTTTTAACCCCAAATTGAACAAGTTTACCTAGATCTTAAAAAGCAGCTCAGATGATGAAACTGCAACTATGATTCTGATAACAAGCTAACAAATTGAACTAGCTCCTCTTAAGCTAACCGGCTAGCAGAGCTTCTGACTGGCAGTTTATGTGCAGCAGCAAATCAACTATCCTGATTAACAAGGTTATAAAAGCTCATAAAGGAAAAATCACTTTGATGTGTGGGGGAACTTTTCCAGGCCCTCTTTAGCAGGGTGGGACTGGGAGGAGAGTGCTGTAGCCTTTTAGCTGGAAGCTAACCGGAGCCTGGGGCTAACATCACCACCCGGTGGAACACTAGCGACATGGAGGTGGGTGGGTTCACCGGCACGTGTCGGAGTCAGCGTTCCATCCATCCTAAGGGTCTACGTAGGGGGCGGGTGTATTACGTGAACGGACCCATCTGATTGGCCACATATCAGAAGGACTACATTTGATTGGTCAAATAATACTTCTGCGTAAAAAACAGAGCTGGTTTACAAAAAGTTGAAGTATGACACGGATGGAAATGTTTGAACCAAACATTTATCGCCGTTTTTGACGTGCCTTGCTTTGGGCCTATCGCACGTCCTGTTATCGCGATGACGATAATTTTTCGATTTATTGTGCAGCCCTAAACTTTAAAGTGTGTGTGCCGCTTAGACGCCATGTTTTCTGCTTCCGTAAGCTACGCAACGTGCGCGGTGACGTCATTCGTGCCGACTGGAATTGATAAGTGGAAACGTTTTCAAAAGTGGTGAACGACTCCTAGGAACTGAAACAACGGTTTTCGATTCCCACTCCTCGTTGCAATATTGCACGTAACGAGCCAAAGCTGCTAATATAATGCTCATGCAGAATCAGGAGGGGTTTCCATCCCTATAAACACAACATTAGAAATTCCTGCAGTACCTGGTGCAAAATGAAAAAAATTTTTTTTTTAAAGAAGTAAAAATAGGAAGTAAGAAGGTTCTTTGTTTACACCAGAAGACGTGTAACTTCAATCTGAGCAACACCTTTGGGTGTTTCTGTTGAAACTTTTTTAGAGTGTGAAAACTTACTTAAAGAGCAAGTCACCCCCTACCAGAGTCTAACTCCACTCCCACTTCATGTTTGAAAAATGCAACAAATGCTGTTGCCAGGCAGACCGAGAGGGCGGAGCCGCTAACAAATACACACACACAGGCTCACGACAGCATTGTGACATCATAATGTACCAGTTTACATCATAGCATGCCTCTTAGCCAATAGCGGTGGCAGATTTAAATTCAAATACAGTTTTTACCTGAAAACGGCACAACACTGTCAGTTTTAGGCAGAATATTTAAATTTGAACTAAGATGCATGGAAGTGCCAAATTATTGACTACACGTGTCTGCAGCACGGTTAGACACTCGTTTTATTTCATCAGCAAAAAAAAGGTTGATTTGGGGGTGACTTGCGCTTTAACTTACTATGAATGACTACATTAGTTAAATATAAATGACTAATGACTGGAACAAAAAATGTATGTCCAAATGTTTTTTATAAAACTGGATAATGGTCACCTGTAAAGGTTCCTGAGCCTTTAAATGGTCTCTCAGTCTAGTTAAATTACAGAAATAAATGTAATTTTGCACAATATTTTAATTTTTCTAGCTTCACATAATTGTGTGTTTTAGCAGCATTTCTGTTGCTGCTAATCTAGTAATGGTTAAATAAATAAATAAATAAAATCCTTTAAAATGACACTAGAAGAGGCACAAGCCTGATGGAGGACTCACATTTACTAACTTGGGTCAGACCCAACCACAGAAGAGCTGAAGCTGGGTGGTAAACACACACAGGTAGTTCTAATAACACCTGAGCTCCATGACGTCTGAGACTGATGCATCAGCGTTACAGCGGGACTAAAGACATGATCAGAAACAGGTTACAGCTGGACGATCTAGGAAGGTAGAAGATCAGGATGTCTGAGCGGTGAACAGGTGAGCGGACCTTCGGCACGTCCCGCTGTCACGCTAAGAAGGGCACGGCTGCAGACCCACACCTGCAGCAGCGAATCAGCAGGTCTGCAGCGGTAGATTCATCACGTCTTCCTCGTTCTTCTCGAGCCGTGATGCTCTTGGATGAAAACATCCGCTTCACTTCACTGCACTTCAACACACTGCGCTGCTGAATTAGTAACGCATGGATTTTCTCATGAGTAGCGGAAACGGCGTTATGGTTGGATTACTCGTTGATGAAAACTAGCTTTTTAGTAACGCCATTATTTCAAACGGCTTCATTTCCATCTCTGACTGTGACGATGAAGCAGGAATGTTAAAGACATTTTAAAACGCCGGGCAGACGAGGTGGAGGTGAAACTGAAAGAGGAAAGTGCATCACATAATTACGAAAAGGGGGACATTTTTTTTATCTGTATGAATTTGCGATTTTTGAGGCAAGTTTCCACATGAGGATGAAACGAAAACGAGGACCACCTCACAGCCTGTTTCAGTGATTTTGGCATATTGGCCAAAAAACGCCAGTGGCCACATTTTCAGTGCCTCGCTATTTATAGGTGAGTACATCATTGACTGTTTGATGGACGCTGACTCCGCGCCGTCAGCCACTTCCCAGAAGTGGACCAGCCCAGGTCTACCTCCGGGAAGTGGCTGACGGATCCTGGAGTCAACACCGGGACCAACCTAAAGCTAAACATTCAGCACACAGATCTTTTACCACTAGCTGACCCCAAGCCAGATGAACATTACAGTACCTTCTCTGCCGTGCGGTTCCACACGGTGACAACATGGCCCATCTTCAGCAGGTTGGAGACAATGCCACTACCCATGAGACCCAGGCCCAGAAAACCTATCCTGCAGGACAAGAGCAGCACACTCGTCAGACAGTGGAGGTTTCGGCAGCCATCTGGGTTCAAGTCTTGGTTGTTGGAGTGAAATTACTTTTAGTCGACTAAAACTTGGGTTTTTAGTTTGACAAGTAATACTGACAGATGAATGTATAAGTCACACGGTTACACTGGTTGTTTACCAACATCATTTATTTTTAAAGAGCAAGTCAACCTCAAATCAACTTTTTTTGTTGATAAACAATATAAATGAGTGTCTAATTGCTCTGTAGACACGTTCAGTCAATAACCTGGCACTTTAGTTAATCGTAGTTAAAATTTAAATAATCTGCCTAAAACTGTCAGTGATGCACCGTCGTCAGGCAAAAACTCAGCACTGCATTTGAATTTAAATCTGCCATCGCTATTGGCTAAGAGGTACACTATGATGTTAGATGGTACATTATGATGTCACAATGTCGTATGTATTTTTTGTGGCTCCGCCCTCTCGGTCTGCTAGGCAACAGCATTTGTTGCATTTTTCAAACAGGAAGTGAGAGTTGAGTAAGAATCTGGTAGGGGGTGACTTGCTCTCTAAGGCTAAAGGCAGAGAGAGAGAGAAAGAGAGTGGAAAAAAACCCCGAGCGGAGGCAGTGACCGACAGCACGAGCCGTTTTCAGCTTAGTCTTGTCAAATGCACCACGTACGTTACAAATATAGTAACTTTAAAAAGAGGCGAGCTGAAGAAAACCTAGGGAGTACCGAAGAAACGGGAGCAACAGTGAAGCACAGAGAAATCCCTCTCTGTCTGTCTGTCTGTCAGACTGAGACTGCAGAGTTTTGTGTATAGGGAGGGGCGGGCTCTATGTTACTGGCCAATCACAGAGCGTGAAGACAGTCAGTTACTCAATGAGGATTTTCCTTCAGCAACATTACAGATATTTACGAGTTTTACTCGTTTCTTGATCGTATTCGTCAAAAATGCTTTATCCGTACCGGATACTCGTCTCCGGCTCATCCCTACTTGATACCGTGTGACTGATCTCAAACATCAGTCACAGAAAAAACACCCAGTTTAAGAAACGTGTTAATGTCCAGAAGAAGCCTCGTTGCCCGTATTTCTAATCGTTTCACTGTTATTTTTTAGTTTTTGCCAAATGGGAAAAAATTAGCATTTCGAGCTTAATTTTCATCCCATCTCGTCCAAAGTGACAAAACTCATGAGAGTCTGGTCATGTTCAAGTCAGCAAAGAGCTGTTTTTAGATTTCCAGCATCTTGTTTCATTTTGACAAAAAGAGATCAGAGGGATCAATTAGTCATCATTGGTGAAAACAAGCGTGGAGTCAGGGCAGGAAAACAAAGGCCAGCGGTCTGCAGGCATGTGCGACGAGTCGGTACCTTTTATCTGTTGGTGTGATGCTGCCATTAATGGCTGTGCTGTCTGCTGCTTGGATAGAAGTTGAGCCAGTCACCTGTGTGGAGGAAGTCAACTGTCAGTGTCACCGCTTCAACAGGTAGGGTCTGAAACTCGCCCTGCGTTTACCTCTTCGATGATTTTCAGGCGTTTACTGATGGGCTCCATCGATGAGGCTGGCTGTAAGCAGAGAGGAAGGATGTGAGATCATCGTCACTGCACACGCACGCACACACACACACAGCATGAAGAACAGTTCATAAGATCTTGCAGATGGTTTGGTCTCACCTTTTCAGACTGGATGAGCAGAAAGTGATGGAAGTGCGGATCGTCCTTGACCGGCTGGAACACAACAAGACGTCAGAATGAATGTGCTGTCAGCTAGCGTGGACCTAAAGGCAAGGCTTCCATCATGGTGGCTTCTAAAGCTAGAAATGCTGCTCATCTAGAACTCACAAGTTGCTCAGGGAGGAGCACCAGCCAGATTAGCCGATGCAGGTGTGAATGTGTGTGTAATGAATGAATGAATGAACCCATGGAGACATTCCTCACTCTGGTTTCACTGTTCATCTCTCTAGTGAGGACGGACGATTTGGTAGTGAATAGGTCCACATGGTGTCGGTTTCCTCACCACCACAGTGGTTGTTGCTATAGTTGGGTGTGTGCACGCGAGTGTGTGTGTGCACACTAGGGGTTGTGTCAACTAGTCGACTTCACCGCTCTGTAGTGACTTTTTATGCCCGTCATCGACTAGTCGCTGTCACGTGATAATGACCGACAAGATGCAGTCCACGGAAAAGACAGCAGGCGACGCGCTGTGCCAGAGCGTCGGTACTGACACCCGCCGTAAAACGGACATTTAACCAAATTGTGACCTTTACCCTCTTGCAATTTAACCTTCCCCTCAACCCCATCCTAACCTTAACCAGCTTGCGCATGCAAAGCTCTGATCGTTGGCGCGCTCCAGACATCTGCGTCCTGAGCACGGCCACAGTAACGTTATCAAATCAGGTGTCGCCACCTCAAAAACTACTTTAACACACGATCGTTCCTGTCGGCTCATTTCCTTTTGTTTTCTGCCTTTTATTATTTTATTTGTGCCTGATGCGTTTCGCTGCTGTGGAGCGGGGCGCATCACCTGTTTTGTCCTCGGTGACGCACCTTATCGGTGCGGCCGGCACGCACTCCGCTGTTTTTGCGGTCGGTAGATCTTTTAGAACTGCAGTTCAAAGGTAACTCATGAGGTGAATATATATGAACCCAGGTAGCAGTTTTTCTTTAGGATTGAGAGGAGATGCAGGAAGATAATAAACAGATACAGGACAGAAAAATAGTCAAACAAAAACAAGTTAGTTTTGTACCTGCTGGTTGCAACAAACAGACACCATTGAAGGTCATCAGAAGTGAGGAACAGAAAATGAAATAATTATTTTAATGTTTAGAGCAGCAGGAACTCCGAGAGGCTGCAGGAGCATCAGTGAGTTTGTGGCTGCTGCGCAGGGGGAGGGGGGAGAGGGGAGAGGGCTGAAGCAGGGGGAGGGGGGAGAGGGCTGAAGCGGAGCAGTATAGAAGCGGAAACTACAGTTGTTAAGAGATGTTTAACTTTGAAAATGTGTGCGTAATTTTAATTGTCAAAAACTCCAGCGAACCAACCCCCCACCCCCCCCCACCCCGCGCTCCAGGTATATGACGTCAACGAGTCGATTCGATTTTCATTACTTGACTGTCGACTTTAAAATTAATGAAGTCATGCAGCCCCTAGTGCACACTGGTGATTTGAATGCATCACGGCTTTCCCTCCAGGTTTGTTCTGCTCAGCTTCTCAGTATTAGTCTGAAATGAGTGTTTCAGGCTGGGGCAGCACGCAGAGCTCAGAAAAATAACCATTATTTCATTTTACTAGATGGCCAGGTTTTGACTTATGATCCTAGGGAATTCTGCACAATTCCCAGACACTACAGTAAAATTTCAGTAGATGAAGTCCAACCTAAGTAACTAAAGAAAAACCGGCTGCTGCATGGTTCTACACAGAGGAAATTGAGCTGAAACAAGGAAACGGGACAGACTCCGATTACAGCTTAGCTGACCAATCAGAAGGATGCACAGCTTCCTGTCTAAAGCAAGCTCATAGGACCTTAACATCAGTGTGGTGTTAGCGACTCTCGAACTGTCAAACACAAACGTCTCCACTGACTAAGATATGAACAGTTACGGGACCGCTTTGGATTTGAGGGGTGCACAGTTTCATTACACACACACACACACACACACACACACACACACACACACACACACACACACACACACACACACACACACACACACACACACGTGAACAAGTTTGTTTAGAGTGGTCATCAACCCTGGCACAGAGCAGCAGGTCTGAACTGAGAGCTAAGCTGGGTTCAGCACAGCTCTGGACCAAACCTCGGCCCGTTTCAGAGCCCTGTTCTCAAGAGTTGCTGACCCTCTCAGGAGCACACACACCCCACAGCTGCAGCAGTCACACGTGAGCACCAAACAGGTTGGAAGGGGAAAGTCTGCAGTTGGTGGTGGTTTGAAGCCAAAAGGTTAAAGTCAGAAGAACAGCAGGGAAAGGCAGGCTTGGTGGGAGGAGGGGCGTTCACCTACACTGCTCTCCCATTTGAATCCTGAGCCAGGTCCAGCCAACCTCTCAACAGCAGACGGCTCGGGGTCAGAGTCAGTTAAATCCTTAAGAAGGAGAGAGAAACATTCACCTTCACATCAAAAGGTGGAACGTATAACGGTCCGGGTTAGCTGTTTGTCAGACGGGCTGCCGGATAACTTCAGAGTTCGTTTCCAGGTCCTGGTTCTGGTCTTTAGGGCCTTACATGGACAAGCACCATCTTACATTGGTGATCATCTCAGTCCCTTCACCCCCAGCTGGTCCCTGGGGCAGTGTGTGCCCCACATAGGCTCAGGCGCCACGCCTATGAGTCGGGGGAACTGGTGGCTTCTGGCGGTGTGTCCCCGGGCAGCTGCTACTACACTGTGTGTGTGTACGTGTGCATGTGTGTGTGACTGACTAGTGTAAATCACTTCAGACTCCTCTGTGCAGGTCACTTATCACAAAGTAGAGCCTGTTGAACCTTTCCTGGTTGAAGATGGAGTCAAACACAACTCGCAATCCTACTGCTGGTTGTTAGGACAGCTTCTTGCAGCAGCGGCGGTACAGGACAGAAGTCGGCATCATTCAGAAGGACAACACTGCTGGCTGGTCAGCCAAGGACTCAAAGACGGCAGAACAATGACTTCCTCACTTGTACCAAACCCTATAGAGAACCCACGGGTCCTTTTAAACCTTTCATAGGCAAGGAAGAACAACAGTTCACCTTCTGAACGGGGAAGGCATCCTGCTGCGTCTGTCCATCACAGATTCTTTAGATGTCAGAAACGTTTACATGGAAATGTGTTTATTTTCCTCATTTTAACAAAATAAACAAGGGAGATGTTACTGTGCACATGCTTGTATTCCCCTGATGTTCACGCTCACATTTCCAAGGTGCGACAGTCAACTTTTGTGTTCAGACACATTTTGGATCGACCGAAGCAAACAAAACGTAAAACATCAACGTAAAAAATACCCCCAAAATACAACTAGTGTGCACAAGCTGGTAGCTAGAGGGTACATCCATGAGTGCTAGTCCTAGCTGCTTTAACAACTCAAAAACCTATATTAGAGCAGTACCGACCTTCTCAGAGGGGTCCTTCAGGGCACTCAGGTCCTCATCATCCTCATCCAGTATTTTCAGAGGTTTGTTGGACGCCTTCTTGCCTTTTGATTCAGCTTTACCATCAGAGTTCTGCAAGAAACATACACACACCCTCAGTCACTTAACCCGCCTGCCCGGTGGTCAGAGGGAACGATGGCAGCTGTGCTCGGCAGCCTAGCCTCCGTCAGCGTGCCGCAGGGCAGCAGAGGCTTCAATGAAGCTCATCCTTACCAGGGTATAGGAGCCGCGTTTTTCCGCAACACAGGGTGTGAATGTGTGTGAATGCACTTTGGAGGGTTCTAGGACTCTAGAAGGCGCGATACAAAACGGAACATTTACCATTTAGTAAAAGTCAGAAAATATGAACGTTCATTCAACTGTGACTGAACGAGTAGAAACGGCGTTTTATTCGAGGACGGAAACAACAGACGTGTGTTTAGAGGTGAGACCACTTGAAGGGTGGAGGAGAATGAGGGGTAAGTTAGGCCGCGATAAAAAGCCTTCGAAATACATTAAAACAATCTTAGGTGTGTTCTTGCTGTGTCTTTCTAAATCCATTCTTTCGTTCTTTTTTAAACACAGAAACAGTTTTGTTTACCTGTTTGCGAAACTGTAGCTACAAACAGGTAAACAAAACTGTTTCTGTGTTTAAAAAAGAACGAAAGAATGGAAATTAAAACAATGTAAACAATATTAAATGCCCCATCTTGGACCGGATACATGGCTGTAATGACGGATACCTCCGTTGTCCCGGAGGGGAATTGCTTTGCAACATTCCCCAGGAGATGGGTTGGCGTGTGCGTGACTTCACACTCGAGCCGACAGAAAAGTACAACCGGCCTAGTGAGCTGTGCAGAGCAGAGTATGCACTAGTGAAAAAGAATGAGTTCTGGCTCTGTCGATACCAACTCACCTCAGAGAACCATAACAAAGAATGTTCTGTCTTAATTTGAAAATCCTGATTCAGGAAGTAAAGGACGTCCACATGGAAGACCTGTTACTGATGACATGAGCTCTTGTTCTGCTTTGGTCTGGTGCCAAGCAGCATTGGGACAGTTTATGCCTATCCTGCTGGGTGTTGGCTGATTATGATCAACAGCCACATGCTAGTGACAATGGTAAATACAAGGAGATGACCTTTTGTTGACGATGAGAATGGATTCAAGACTTTCCAGAAAAAGGCTGATTTAACCCAATTGCTTGAAACAGGAAGTGGATCACCTGTTCTTTCCCCTTGGCTTTCTTCAGGTAGTCCTCCACTGCATCCACGGCCTGCTGGAAGCGCTTTCCTTTGTTTATCTTGATCATTTCTTCTTTGTGGGCATGGTAGGGCTTCAGTTGTTCTACTTTGATCCAGGCACTGGCCACACAGACACAACATCTCAGGCATGTAGCACCCAAATAGATGGAAGTGAAGTCTTGAGCAGGTATTTCTCTACTTACTGGTCTTCAGTTCCAAAAAACTTCACAAAGTGGCATTTCTTGCCCCTGGGCTTTTTCAGGTCCTTGGGAGGGCTCACAACCTAAACATCCACAAACATTTAACGGCTTTTTAGTGATTAGTGATCATGACATGACTTAGTTAACCAGTTGTGTTTTTGCCCCTTACCTTTCCGGGCCATGGTGGGTACCGCCCCAGCTTCCCCCTGAGGAGGGCAGGAGAATCATATCAGCACCTCACCAGAGTATGATCCCAGACCCACCGCAGTGTTTGGTGCCAGCGACACACACTTCTAACTCTACAGCTGAGCCTAGCATATGCACCACATACAATCTCCTCAACAGCAATGCGTGCTTATTTAGACAGAAAAGAGGCATTTCTGATATTTACACGGTACCATTTCAGTAGCAGCAGGAACTGAATACGAGTCAGATGCAGACTGAAAATGTTCTCAGAACTATTTGACTTATTTCTCATCCTCTTCAACATTTTTTATTTGTAATCTAAACTATTTGAGAGTTCAAAGCCGTATGATTTATGTCTTTCATGATTATTAACGTTACAAAAATAAAGCTGTGCTTCACTGCAGGCTTGAACATAAAACAGAGGTCTCAGGACCACCGGAGAGGCTAGCCGGCCAGATGTTTAGGGTTCAGAGTGGTTTTCTGTCCTCGGACAAAATGACAAAAAACCCTAAAAAGCCTGCTTAGTTAAGGTCGGTGTGATTAAACAGCCTTTTCAGTTTGGAGTCCAGATAATATCTGGATTAGAAGAAGTTCTGCCCTAAAAACAGCTCTAAACAACCGTGTTAGCTGTTAGAATATAGGGTATATAACGCGAATGATTAAAGGTACCCCCAGGTCTTCAGGATTGACCAAACTTCTCGTGTTTACTTTTGAGTAGCGGCCCACCCTACAGCTCCGTAGTCTGCCTTCCGTCTCTTATACCTCTGTCACTGAAGCGTGGACAGAGTAAAACAGCCAAACAAATAGATTTTACCGAGAGTAAAGAGGGAGCGACAGTAAAAACGGAAACCGAGTAGACGCAGATCCCTCTAGCTACAAGCTAGGCTAAGCTAACCATGCTAACACACAGCGCACACACCAAACAAGCAGATCAAGCTTTTCAAATAATCGCACCGCCACTAAACTATAAATGGCAAAAGACAGCCCTTGTGCCTAAAACGAGCGTGTCTGGTGAGGTTTACACTCATTGTAATTAGCTCGCTGGCTGGCAGCTAACGACAGCTAAATAAGCTTGGTTAGCGATTTGTTTGGCTCGACCATAAACTGACTCACAAAGCAGACTGTTATATAAATGGCGTGTCTCTGACACAAACAACGAACGCGGAGAGCAGATGAACGGATGCAACATGGCGTTAAGGGGCTAAAACTGGGAAAGAGAGTGTAAAACAGCGTTTAAAGGTCATCTCACCACACCAGGTCCCCGATCCGCAGATGCACCGTCGCCATCTTTCAACTTGAATAAAACGTCGCACCGAGCGAGAGGAAGAGGAACACACCCTCCCCCTCAGTCATCACAGGCAGGGGCAGGGCGAACCAGCACCAGAACAGACCGGTGTTCCAGGACCAATCAGAACCAACCAGGGAGATGGAGAACCAGGACAGGTGGCGTGCCAATGTAGTATAGTTTGTACCCCCTGCGTTGGGAGCGCGCGAGCGCCGGTGTTTAAAACAGCGTTTCCGTAAACTACGCCTCGATTCCAGCTAACTAGAGATAAAAATATGTTTTACTGACGAAAAAAGAAAAGACGAGTGTTGTTATCGTTCAGGTGGTGGGGGACAACAGAGAGAATGTCATGTTTGATCAAGCTGAACGTTTCCCTGGATCATCGCGTCGGTGTAAACCATCGACATAATATACGGTGTAAACTCCATAATCTCAGCAAAACAAGAGAAAACTATTAATTTATTTGTACAAAGGTAGAAATTAATTATACTATGTTCATATTCGATTTAAAAAGCGTCAGACACGTGACACAACATCACATATTGACAGCACTGAAATCCATTTTATAACTGCTGACAGGCTTTTAAATATCTTCAGGTCATGGACGTAGTTTTGACCTTAGAAGTGGGGGGTACACCAGAAAGAGGACCAGGGGGGTCTTTACAGTAAATATACAAAAATATGTATAAAACTACAGGCTAGGGGATCCTTCATGCAATGTCAGGAATGCAGAACTTTTTTGGACGGTAAAATGTGCAGGGGACATAGGCAAGGGCGTCAGTTTGTTTTCAGAATTGCTGGGGACAATAACCATACACTTGAGTGGGGTTTAAAAACTACTGGGGACAATAAAGTAGGCTAGCACAGGGGTCGGCGGCTCTGGAACCGCATGCGGCTCTTCCATCCATCTGATGCGGCTCTCTGTGCGTGTGAAATAATGAATGGATATTTAAATAAAAAGCTTTATATTTTACTGCATTAATTTTACATCTGTAAGCCAATTCTAAATGTAAAGATTGTCTGCGTAAACCTGAACAGGCCCAACCCGGTCTTACTGTGAGACCGGGTTGACGCGTCACGCTTGTGCGTAATCATATCGGCGCTTCTGAGCTGCTTTCTGACCTTCCCCACCTACAAAGTTTAATTACAACAATCAAACGTGACAGAGCCTGGATTTGTATTCTGAACAGTCTAAACATGTTTTAAAAAGAAACGTAGGACAAAAGTGGCACCTGCTCAGTAAAACCATCAACAGGGTGAAAAATACCAAAAATTGAAGGCAGAGACGGGCTACAACTTCTGGATCCATTTTATATAAATCGTTTTATTGATTATCGTCTAATGAAAGATAATTAAGACGTACATGAGCGATCAGGCACGTTGCAAGCTTTTCAAAAGTGTGGGGGATGTTGTCTGTGCCTAAAATAATTTCATGTTATTCACCTTGTTAGTTTAATTTCCATAATAGCGGAGCAGGTGCGAATTTTAGATGTGTCACGCACGTCTCCGTTTCAAACATGTTTAAACTGTTCAGAATACAAATCTAGGCTCTGTATCGTTAGATTGGTGTAACTAAAGTTTGTACTGAATGAAACTTTACATTAAACCATGTTGAAAAGTAAAGGATCCGATTAAATAGTTTCCCCCTCATTTACAGTCAGTACAGTGCAGTGCGCACGGCTCTGGGGTTGATCAAGTTTAATTGGAACATTAATGTGTTACTGGACACGCTGGTCTGGTTGGTTAGACCAGTGTTTGAAGTGGAAAACACACACACACACACACACACACACACACACACACACACACACACACACACACACACACACACACACACACACACACACCAATTAAAATAATGCTGATAGCGTGGACTAGAAGACAGGTGATGGTTTACGTATTTAAATGATGATCAGGCTGCTGTAAAATGTAATCTCCATCCACATCCAGACACAATTATCCTCTATTCTTTCTCTGTTTGCTCTGCTTTTGTCTGGGCTGATCAGCTGATAGTGCGCGCGGCACGCCTAACTAGCGGCTGATGCACATTTTACGCATTTGGAGAGGTGGACTGGATGCTTTGCTTTTACTGGAAGTTGATCCACTTAACGCACGGTTGTAGACTAAATATTAATGACAAATGAATGAAAATTAAATTGTGAGTTTTTACTTCATATTTTAGAAATAAAAATGACGGGGGAACACATTTATGACGTCTTTTTAAACAAAATTTTCTAGCGCGACCTGCCTGCTTCACTTAAATCACTGCTTATTAAGGTCCGTCCAAAATTACCGTGGCCCATCCAAAAATGAAAACCTGGCGCCGCGCCAGTTATAAACCTCTGCAAATTGTTGTTCTTCACTTTATCAAACTCAGACTTTGTACAGCTAATGTCAAGATGTAAAATTATGAATTCAGTCGAGCTCTTCCGTCCCTCCCTCTCCTGCTCTCCTGGAAACCCGACATCGGCTGGGAGGTGAAGGAGGAGATGAGGCAAACAGAGTGAGTAAAGAAACCAGACTGGTGTGGAGGTGAGCAAAACAGCTGGAAAAGTGTGGGTGTTGAATCCCCCACGGGTGCGATGCCCCCGGCTGCTGTCACCTGTTGTGAGCAGCTCTCTGCTGTCGGAGGGTATGCCCCGCCCGCAACGCTGCGGCTGCTGCGGTGTTTTCTTTACCGTGGGAAATGGGTAATAATGGCTCTTTGATGGGAACAGGTTACCGACCCCTGGTATAAGATCTGAGCTGGTAAAACAAAAAGTCCTCATCAGCAGGCTTTTTTGAAAGTGGGGGGGACACAGCTGCCAATCACGAATTTTGCCGGGGACATGTCCCCGGCGTCCCCGGTTAAAATGACGCCTATGGACATAGGCGTCATTTTAACCGGGGACGCCGGGGACATGTCCCCGGCAAAATTCGTGATCGGCAGCTGTGTTCCCCCCCCCCCCCCCCCACTTTCAAAAAAGCCTGCTGATGAGGATTTTTGTTTTACCTGCTCAGATCTTATACCAGGGGTCGGTAACCTGTTCCCATCAAAGAGCCATTATTACCCATTTCCCACAGTAAAGAAAACACCGCAGCAGCCGCAGCGTTGTGGGCGGGGCCTACCCTCAGACAGCAGAGCGCTGCTCACAACAGGTGACAGCAGCCTGGGGGCATTGCACCCGTGGGGGATTCAACACCCACACTTTTCCAGCTGTTTTGCTCACCTCCACACCAGTCTGGTTTCTTTACGTCGCACTCACTCGGTTTGCCTCATCTCCTTCTTCACCTCCCAGCCGATGTCGGGTTTCCAGGAGAGCAGGAGAGGGAGGGACGGAAGAGCTCGACTGAATTCATAATTTTACATCTTGAATTTAGCTGTACAAAGTCTGAGTTTGATAAAGTGAAGAACAACAATTTGCAGAGGTTTATAACTGGCGCGGCGCCAGGTTTTCATTTTTGGGTGGGCCACGGTAATTTTGGACGGACCTTAATAAGCAGTGACTTAAGTGAAGCAGGCAGGTCGCGCTAGAAAATTTAGTTTAAAAAGACGTCATAAATGTTTTCCCCAGTCATTTTTATTTCTAAAATATGAAGTAAAAATTCACAATTTAATTTTCATTCATTTGTCATTAATATTTAGTCTACAACCGTGCGTTAAGTGGACCAACTTCCAGTAAACGCAAAGCATCCAGTCCACCTCTCCAAATGCGTAAAATGTGCATCAGCCGCTAGGCGTGCCGCGCGCACCATCAGCTGATCAGCCCAGACAAAAGCAGAGCAAATAGAGAAAGAATAGAGGATGATTGTGTCTGGATGTGGATGGAGATTACATTTTACAGCAGCCTGATCATCATTTAAATACATAAACCATCACCTGTCTTCTATCCACGCTATCAGCATTATTTTAATTGGTGTGTGTGTGTGTGTGTGTGTGTGTGTGTGTGTGTGTGTGTGTGTGTGTGTGTGTGTGTGTGTTTTCCACATCAAACACTGGTCTAACCAACCAGACCAGCGTGTCCAGTAACACATTAATGTTACAATTAAACTTGATTAACCCCAGAGCCGTGCGCACTGCGCTGTACTGACTGTAAATGAGGGGGAAATGATTTAATCGGATCCTTTTCTCTTCAACATGGTTTAATGTAAAGTTTCATTCAGTACAAACTTTAGTTACACCAATCTAACGAGACAGAGCCTAGATTTGTATTCTGAACAGTTTAAACATGTTTAAAACGGAGACATGCGTGACGCGTCTAAAATTCGCACCTGCTCCGCTATTACGGAAATTAAACTAACAAGATGAATAACATGAAATTATTTTAGGCACAGACAACATCCCCCACACTTTTGAAAAGCTTGCAACGCGCCTGATCGCTCATGTACGTCTTAATTATCTTTCATTAGACGATAATCAATAAAACAATTTATATAAAATGGATCCAGAAGTTGTAGCCCGTCTCTGCCTTCAATTTTTGGTATTTTTCACCCTGTTGATGGTTTTACTGAGCAGGTGCCACTTTTGTCCTATGTTTCTTTTTAAAACATGTTTAGACTGTTCAGAATACAAATCCAGGCTCTGTCACGTTTGATTGTTGTAATTAAACTTTGTAGGTGGGGAAGGTCAGAAAGCAGCTCAGAAGCGCCGATATGATTACGCACAAGCGTGACGCATCAACCCGGTCTCACAGTAAGACCGGGTTGGAACTGTTCAGGTTTACGCAGACAATCTTTACATTTAGAATTAGCATACAGATGTAAAATTAATGCAGTAAAATATAAAGCTTTTTATTTAAATATCCATTCATTATTTCACAAGCACAGAGAGCCGCATCAGAAGGATGGAAGAGCCGCATGCGGTTCCAGAGCCGCCGACCCCTGTGCTAGCCTACTTTATTGTCCCCAGCAATTTTTAAACCCCACTCAAGTGTATGGTTATTGTCCCCAGCAATTCTGAAAACAAACTGACGCCCTTGGCAGGGGACAAAAATTATATATATATATATATATATATATATATATATATATATATATATATATGTATATATATATATATATATATATATATATATATATATATATATATATATATATATATATACACAGTAGGTTCGATCCCGGCTCCGGACAGAGAATTCTGCTGTTGTGTCCTTGGGCAAGACACTTAACTGACCTTGCC